GGTTGAACGAAAACATCAGTTGATTGAGGTCGAGTGTGAGCAGGTTTAACTGAACGCATAGCGTTTGTAAGCCTACTCGTGTAAGAGTTTAGATCCATGTTCAATGAAGAAGCTGAAGGATCCACGAATTCTCCTGGGAGTCGGAGTGTCGTTCCGTAAACGAGTTGAGATGCCGTGTATCCAATGTCAGCTTTCACTGCATTGCGGATACCTAGCAAGACGAGTGGAAGAGCGTCTGTCCACTGTGAAACGTTTGAAGCTGATAATGAAGCTTTTAATTGTCGATGAAAACGTTCTACCAACCCGTTTGCTTGTGGGTGGTAGGCGGTCGTTCGGAAGCGCGTGATTCCTAAAAGTGTGGTCAGACAACGGAAAAGTCCAGATTCGAACTGGCGTCCGCGGTCTGTAGTGATGGTTGAAGGGCAGCCGAAATTTGCTACCCATCGTTCGACGAAAGTGCGAGCCACTGTTTCAGCAGTAATGTCCTTAATCGGTACTGCTTCTGGCCATCGAGTAAAACGGTCTACGCATGTTAGGAGATATGAGTATCCGTTCGAGTCGGGTAAGGGTCCTACCAAATCTAGATGGACGTGGTCGAAACGAGCGTCAGGGGTTTTGAAAGAACCTAAGGGACATTTGTTGTGTCTGATTACCTTAGATTTCTGACAGCTTACACAGGAGCGTGCCCACTCCCTCACGTCTTTATTCATGCCAGGCCAACAAAAGCGTTCGGCTATAAGTTCGATTGTTGCACGAGCACCTGGATGAGAAGGATTGTGCAACGTATTGAAGACGTTGCGGCGATAGTGTTTTGGTACAATTGGACGATCCCTACCTGTAGATGTGTCACAGAGTAAGGTTTCCTTACCTGTTCCCATCTGCCTAATACTTAGTTTAAGAGTTGTCGAGGATAACTCATGCTGAAGATCAATGTCTTCTTTTTGAAGCTGAGCGAGTTTAAGAAGGTCGATTCCTTGGAAACTGTTCAAGGAGCTAATTCGAGACAAGGCGTCTGCGACTACATTGTTTGCTCCAGAAATATGTTGTATGTCTGAAGTAAACTGCGAAATGTAGTCGAGTTGTCGAGACTCTCTTGGTGAGTACTTGTCTGAAGATGAACTTAAAGAGAAGGTAAGAGGTTTGTGATCGGTAAAGAGCGTGAATTCTCTTCCTTCGATGGAATGTTGAAAATGCCGTACAGCACAATACATAGCTAGGAGTTCCCTACCGAACGTGCTGTACCTAGATTCAGCGTCTAGCAACCGTCTCGAGAAAAATCCTAAAGGTTGCCACGAGTTGTTAACCCATTGTTGTAAGACTGCTCCGATTGCTGAGTCGGATGCGTCTACGGCGATACTAATGGGCGCTTGACTGTCCTGATGAGCAAGCAAGGTTGCTTTAGCGATGTGTTCCTTAACTGTGGAAAATGCTTTACGGGCTGTGTCGTCTAAACTAATTGATTTCGCATTTCCACGAAGCTGATCGGTCAACGGTTTCATTAGGGATGCGCATTTAGGTATGAACCGTCTATAGAAACTTACGAGTCCGTTAAAAGTTCGCAACTGCTTGATCGTGGTCGGTTCTGGGTAATCCAGAATGGCCGCCACTTTGCTCCTAAGGGGTCGGATGCCTTGGGCATCAATGGTGTGTCCTAAGAAGTCTAAGCAGTTAGTTCCGATTTGGCATTTCTGAATGTTGACAGTAATGCCATGCCTTTGAAGTCGATCGAAAACAATGTCCAGATGCTTGAGATGCGATTCTCTGTCCGGACTTGCTATTAGACAGTCATCAACATACGCATGTACGAAGTTGAGACCTCGGAAGACGTCGTCTATAAACCTTTGGAAGGTTTGAGCCGCGTTTCTTAAACCAAAAGGCATTCGTAGAAATTCGTAAAGACCGAAGGGAGTGATGATGGCGGTTTTAGGAATGTCGTCAGGTGCCATCGGGATTTGGTTATAAGCTTTAACCAAGTCGATTTTCGAAAAGACAGTTGTACCTTTCAAGGTAGCTGTCAAATCGTGAATATGAGGCAGCGGGTAACGATCGGGAATGGTTTTAGCATTCAGACGCCGATAATCACCAGTTGGCCGCCAATCATTGCTGTCCTTTTTAGGGACCATGTGCAATGGGGATGCCCATGGACTATTCGATGGTCGAATTATTCCTAGGTCCATCATGTGGTTGAATTCGTTTTTAGCTAACCTAAGTTTTTCGGGAGCGAGTCTTCTGGCTTTCGAAAATACAGGTGGTCCTGTAGTCGAGATGTGATGTGTAACATTGCTGGTTACACAAGGTAATTTCGATTGCGATTGGTATATCCCGGGGTATTTGTCGAGTACTGCTTGGTACAAGGGGTCTATGGCGTGCTTAATCGTGACTGGGGATAACCTGCAACCAGAACAAGGAGTTACGCAAACGGACAACTTAGTGTTTCCGTCTATTAACCTTCGTGCGCGTGTGTCGATGAGTAGATTGTGGTGTTGTAACAGGTCAATACCAATGATTGGCATAGAGACATCTGCAACCACGAAAATCCAGTGTATGGGTTTACGTAAACCCACGTTAAGGTAGACGTACCTTTTACCGTAAGTAGCGATCGGCTTTCCGTTTGCCGCCTGTAAACTTAAAACAGACTCGCGAAGTCTGTCGTCGAGATTTGCTGGAAGAACGCTAACTTCTGCGCCAGTGTCGACGAGGTAGCGAACTTTCGTAGTCACATCCGTGACATATAAGAGGCGGCTGTGTTCGCCGGCTACGGTTGCCGTTAACGCGTGCCGGCTGGGAAGTTTCCCGAACTGTTATTCGTGTCAGTCGATTTTGAAGTCGGATACTTGCAAGGTTTCCTGCAATTTCTGGAAAACTTACCGTACTGGTTATGATACCAGCACCAGTCGGGATTGTCTGTCTCTCGTGGTCGAGAGCCAGATCGCTTACGTGAGGCGCTTCTACGCGGGGTTTTTGACCGACTACGGTCATTGCGAACTCTAAGATATCGTGTAAGCGTGTGACATAGTTCGGCCATGTCAGTCGAGGTCGATTGGGGTTTTTCTTTGACGGAAAAAACCTCGGCCTTAGAAGATCTAGTGATTTCCAAGATTCGATCGGCAGATGCAGCTAGTTCATCTATGGCATTTTTTTGAAATGAAACAAGCACTGCCTGCACCTGTTGAGGGAGTTTAGACAAGAAAAGTTGTCTAAATAGGCCATCATCGAAAGTTCGTTGGCCGATGACTTCTCTCATTCTAAGCAACATGTCCGTCGCAGAACCATGTTGCAAGTCGATATTGTTAAGGAGTTGGTCTAACCGTTGTCGATCAGTTAGGTCTCCTCGTTTTAAAATCGATAGCTTAAGCGATTCGTAAGGTTCGGAAACATCACTAGTAAACATACTAGGTGTTACGTACCTGTTAAACTCGCGCGGTAACGCCTTAACTACCGCGAGGAAACGTGTGCGCGAGTCCGTGATTCCGTGCATGCAAAAATCGGCTTTTGCATAGCAGAACCAGGACTCAATATTGTCGGGCCAAAATGGCGTTAACTGAATCGAAATAGGGGGAATAGACTTTAACTTAAAAACCTTGGGTGAGTGTTCCGTCATAGTAATATAGCTAACGAAAATGTCTAATTAAAATATATCCGGAAAAAAAGGTATATCACAATATATAAAATTCAAATAAAGAATAACAATAAATAATAATATTCCAAAATGGAACAGACTCACAGTATATTGACTTGGTGTACCAGATCACGTCGGGTTCACCAATGAAGATGCAACGGATATTCTAGTTTTACAACTAGATACCAGTAGCACCTTCTAAATTCGGTTGTTACCAGTCAGATAGAAATCAGAAGTCGGACGAGAATAGGCAGGAAAGATATATTTGATTCGTTACCAATATATCGAGGACCTTTTCTATGAGCTGGCTAATGAAACGTAGGAGCTGTGTCCCACGCAGTATTGAAACGTGATCTGGTGCGGATGCATGACCGAAAGCCTTCAGCTAAACAAGTCCACTTAAACAACGTGGTCAGCATCCAATGTCGAACACTTAATGAGCTATTGATTTTGGGGAATTATTTACAGCTACAACACCAATAGCAGCCTCGGCAATACGAATCGTTTATTCCAAGCATACTTTGTTTATATATCAGACAGACAGGCCACATCATACCACATAATAGAAAATAATATTTGTACAAAACCAGGCCAAATGAGGCTGTAAGCGTGGGAGACAATAATCAATAAAACTGAGTATAACATAGGGACAGTAAATCATATAGTAATAATCAATAGGTCAAAATAAAGCTTAGATAATCTAGTTACCGAATAGTTATACAATAAGAATGATAGTCCAATAGTAGGTCCTGCAAGTTACCCGTACTTATGTCTTCGCTACTACATAACAACCTTAATATTTGACAAAGTTTAATCGTACACCACATACTCGTTATTATAATGCTAACATACATACATTCAGTAACTTTATATCATACTATTTTCTCAAATGGTGAACTGTTAATTATGAGCTGTTAGACCTTCAGTCAATTGCAAGAAAATCCAATAACACTGTTTCAAATTGAAATTTCACTACTATTTCTTACAATTTAATTGACGTATTATGAATACCATGACTTGTGTTTGTAGTCCATTCTACTTTTCTCTGCACGTAGCTCATTATCAGTAATAGAAATCTATTTGAATGAGCAAAACTCGTTCAAATTCTCATGCTAATAATTTCAGTCCCCAAACATACTATCGTATCTGATTCTCTCTAAATTTTCAAGTTTTAGAAAATAAATGATAATTCCTATAAACGCACCAGTCCACTTTGATTCTCCGTAGTACTTTAGAAGCTACAATTGTTCAACAATCACTTGTCTTGGGAGTAGACATAAACTTTTTGATTGATTTCAGGATGCTCAAAATAACATTTCATCGTTTGTAATTCAAAAAAGTCGCTTGTATCTAATTTCCACTTCATTTTTCGACTTTAAAGGGTGTGACCATACGTTGTCGTATTACACGAGACAAACGAGGTGTCGATCGTGGAATTTTTCCATCATATTATCTCCATCTTGAAAAAGAAGATTGTAAGTTCTTCTTACTTGCAGCTAGGCGTCGTAAGCGATCAACAACGAGCAACTATGTGATTTCTTGTGATGCCACCAACTTATCTCGTGATGCAATTAGTTTTACCGGGAAACTGCGCTCTAACTTTCTGGGTACTCATTTTACTGTGTATGGCTGTGAATTAAAGTCGCGAGATAATGAATCCTTAAATTCAGGGAACAAGGTAAATGATTCTGGTACGATAAAGACAACTTCTAAAACACAAAATATGCAAGAGCTTGCTGCAATCATATACGTAAGTTTTACTATCAGTGCATGTAGACCTAACTGCGTCACGAACTTTAGAAAACGGTTTTCGATGCGCAATGGTGACCAGCAGAGGAGTGGGTTCATAGATGCTTAGGACCGGCCAAACAGAAAAGTGGGATTAATCCATAAGTTCGTTGACCGTTGGAAGTAGCCAAGTAATGGAGATTTCAGGATAGGTTATGTGAATTTTTCGAAACCCATGACTGCAGAACGTCAATAATGAATTTTGATTGGTTTTATTTGTCTCATTCCTGTTATATTCCGTATGTTTCGTGTTGTTGATTTCTTGCCGCTCTGTGGATGAGGAAGTTTGGTAACTTGAGCCGAAATACATTGAGTCACGTTCTCATTATATACATCAGACTGCCTTAGTAAGCTTGTCACAAAGATAACAGATAATAACGAAAACATGACCTTGAAGCAAATATTAAGAACATGATAAGAAAAATGTACTAAAAGCCTTTTCTTGAATTTATCATACAGGTAGATGAACGCTTCTGTATCTCCAATCAGACAAAAAGATAAAATAAACTTTATATCTATTTTTCTAGGTGCACTCCACAAAGCAGCTTTAACATGTGAATTTCGTAAAATGACAGGATAGTATAGGCAATACTTTAGTCAATAATAAGTAACTGGTTATTTACTTGTGTAAGTTTTACGAATGTGTATGAATGAACATTTTATTAGCTAAAAAGTTAAGGTTAAAAAGACGTAGTTTATTAAAAATTAGGTGCGATTTTGTCTAAAACATTTTTAGTAATAATAACTTTTTGTCCGATTGCATATTGAGTCTAGTGTAGCTGTAAATAAATAAATACACCAGCTTTCAATCCACATTCCTGGAAGTGATTTTGCTCGATAACGTACCTTTACTCTTTTTTCTCAGGATACAAACGTACTGGGTTTCAAAGGACCAAGGAGAATGACTATTATTTTGCCGCGCTTAAGTGCTACTTGTCAGCACTTTTCATGTCCTGGAAATGTATGTCCTTAGTTAATATATCATATTTTAAACTCGATATCGACATATTTTTGTGATAATAAGGTTTTATGCAGGTTGTCGTGTTTAGTAATGACACCATTAGCAAGCGGAAAGTCGGTCCAATTGGAATAGCCATTCCGGAGTTAGCTCATCCAATTTTTAATCTGGTGTTGTTAATCTTTTATAGCATTGAACTCATGTATATTTAAATGGTGGTTAGTGCCTCTTTCCTACTACGGTCGACTAGTATATTATAGCAACGAGACACTTGTATTGACTGGTACTCGATATTACTATTTATTGTTAGTATTTCTTCTTACAGGAATATGATAATTGTCTAGTCACAATTCGCCACATGGTTTTCTTTTTATTTCGTTTATAAATACTTATACTGAAGTCCTAAATTATCTCTAAATTTATAGCTACTCATGTATGAACGCATCATTATTCGGTTATTTGAAAAGTATAACGTAATCGATCTATGCATATTTTGTTCAATAATCAAGATGTAGTAATGAGAACTGTCACTGTAAATCGAATTGTATACCCTTATTCCTAAAATAATTTAGTTAATTTTATAAACATCTCCGTTGATTCATCAAAGATGATTCTCAAATTAACAATAACATTTTTGCATCTTTAATGAGCAAATATTTTTTCTTCATTCAGGATACTACCTGGCTAATCGACTCATGGAGGAGAAAAGATATGCAGAGCGTCCTACAACTACAAAACAAGAATCCTGTTTGGAACGAAGGTAAGGCAACATATATCGACTCGTCCAAAACAGAGCATATTTCTTGTTTATTGGCCTAAAATAGTAGACATTTAATTCCTTGTCAGAAAATAATCGTGATCCAGGCAAAAGCGAACTGTGGCTTGTAATCATAAGAGCGAACACGACTGTATGTTTGGGCATTTCCGGGATATAATGTTGCTCTTTATGAATAATGTTTATAAAACTTATTTATGAATTCTCTGTCATGATACAGTAATAGTGTGATGTGACAAACGCTGTTAAGTGTTGGATTTCAGTCTACTGTATCCGTGAGATGAAATTTGATGAGACGTTAATCACCTCAAATATATCTATGAGTATTTGTTTGTATGAAGCAAAAGATATTATTCAGGAAATCAGTAATTGAAAACCAGAGACCCCAAACTTTGCGAAGGTATTTATCCAAAAGTAATTTCACAGTTGGCATAAAAATGTTAGTCATTGGAGCCCAAAAATTGGTTACAGTATAGCGTCATTAAACAGGTTGAACGTAGTTGTGATGTTCCACAGCATCTTCTCAAATGATTTACACTCAATAGTATCCCCAGTCTGTTACAATAGACTGACTATCGTCAGAATGCTGTAGAATACTCACCGAAATCTAATGTTTACATAGAGCATTTTTATGATGTGTTCTTTATTAATCGTTTCTCGCTATAATATCTGCTGACTGTATTCTGTTTGTCATCAGTGATAGTGAAATTCACCCTTGGTAGGTTCAAGTGTGTAAAATTCCAGGTAGAGGTAACGGAAATTCACAACCTCTTTTACCAGTTCAGGGGGCATTTTATATCTTAGTGTACATGAGTCAGGTACCCCATTGGTTGAGAGCTTTCAAAAATCAGCCTCTTAAAGATGGCTTGAATAGGTCAGAACTGACATCCAGAATACCGTTTTTTATTTCAGATAGCTATAATTTTTGTAAGGGCTGTTTTACCCTCGAAAGTTCTTTACAAAAGTATGTTGATCTCCTGGGTGACTACAACTACTCCAGGATCTTAATTGCGTATCAAAAGGATATCGGTTGAACGTCATGGTATGCGTTTCTGAGGTAACCAGTGGTCCAAATGGGTTCGAACTCCATTTGCACTGTTCAAATTCATTTCTTTTCCTACTGATGGTTCAAAGTTCCAGCTGACCAATTATTTGATAAATCGTTAATCACCATTGAACCATAACCAAACTTGCGCTTACCTTGTAGTGCCGCGATTCGTTAACCGTTTACTTCGATAACCGTTATAATTCTAAACTTAACGGTGCGTAAAATCAGAAGACAAAAGATAGCAGCAACTACAGTTTATTGTCGAATGACTCAGGTTCGAAAGCTAACAACACCTGCGCGAATATGAACGAGCGAGTGAACAGGCAAACAAGCGAAGGAAACGAACGAGGAGCAAGCGAGCGAGCGAATAGCAAGCAATTACATAGGCAATGTATAGTCAAATTTAATAAGGGCACAGCAAAGCAAAAAAAAAGGCTAATAATAATATTTGTGTGCGTATATATATGGGGAGGAGTATGAGTCATCGAATAATATTTAAGCAGTCAACATTTCGGCTAGAGTGTCATGTGCTCTAGTGGAATAGCAGTGCAAAGAATATGCAAATTGTTACTATCCAAATGACGATGTCTGTTAAGTAAGTTATAAAAAAGGGCTTAACCAAAATTGGCTATAATCGAAAGTGATTGTAGGATGGTTGCTGTAACCTTTTCCTGTTTTTGCAGAAAGTATGTATCTTGGATAAAAAGTTGCACTTTCTTAGCCGAAGCTATAAAACCGTTGCTTCTAGATTTTGTTTTGGGGATTAATTGGTGATCCATCGAACACAATGTGTCCACTTTTTTGGATTGACTTAGATGCTAATATTAAGCAACATTACTAAGAATACCAGTAACTTAGTAGTATTCATCTTTTTAAAACGGTCGGATATACGAAGATTCTGGTCACCAGGTTTTGTAGTTGTTTAAAAAAACGTCCTGGAGCTTCAAGTGATTTCCGCCATATCAGCACTTCATAGATAAGTACAACAGCGCAGATCTAGTTGAATATGTGGGTTAAAGAGCTTGAGCGTCCTAAAAACTATCTGTGACCTACTGAGCGGAAATCTATATTCGCCGGGATTCTTAACAAAGCCTATGACTAACAGAAACTAAAGTGCAGTAACTGTCTATCTAAGAAGCCTGTGATCCTGAAATTGCAGTTCAAATGTAGCAGTCAACGATACTGCACAAGTTTCTCACGCATGACGGTTAGGTGGAGGATAGTGACGAACAATAAGAAACCCCGCTTTCGCATACCGCATCTAAGTCTGTCATGAAACTTAGGCAAATACTTAACCCTTAAAGTTATCCAGAAAGTGCTGTCCCATATTTTATCCTTTACGATTTTGCTCTTAACATACTGTGTTAGCCATAAGAATTTGGAAGAATGAAGCTAGTTGTGTCCAGTGTTCGTACGACCTTTCCCTACCCTTCTTATTTAGTCCCTCTAAAATTTAGTTATGGTTGCCACTTTATATCTAAATAACCAAATGTAATAAGATCCTAACTGGCTCATTTTTGTATCTATTTCATTACTAACAACCCACCATTATTCTTATTGTTAACAATAAATCTAATTAATCGACTCACCTTTCCTTGATTGGTAATGGATTGATATTATTTTATAAAGCCTTTCTAACATTTGGTTTAGGGGAAATATTTATTCCTTTTGTATTTTCGTTAAGCTGATTCACTAAGAATTTTATTTACGAAGCTGTGATCACAGTGAATTTGTTCACTGAGTTGAAACGTCAATTTATTCCAAAAGACACTCGTAGCCGCTGTTTGCGCATTCAGTTCAACGTATGCATTATGTTGATTACCGATTGATCTTAAGTCCCCACTGCCAGGTTGGTTAATACTTACTAATACATAGACTCATTCCCATTCTACATTTCCAGAAACCCAATCATACGTGCTGAATTTCCATGGTCGTGTCACGCAAGCTTCGGTGAAGAACTTCCAGATCGTGCACAGAAGTGACGGTAAGATCTTAGTTACTACGTTCCTAGAGAAGCCTTTCTTGTCAGTCGTATTTTGAAAACTTCTTTTGTGCAATCTCGCCACCGACGGAGTTCTAAAAGGACTCGTTAGTTCCATCGTACCAGTAAATTTTGAGGGTATACATGGTCATCCGACCCCATATGTTAAGGTTCGAAAGCGATATTTTTAACAAAACACGACGACTGAATGAAATCGAAGAATATCCTTACATTACTAGTGGCAAGAGAATTAGGATTTACACATGAAAAAATCAGTGTTAGTAACAATACCGGCACGTAATCATCTTTTAGTAAGTTTGACAACAATGATTCCAACATATTTTTGATGGAATTGAATAACTGACCATAGGTGACAACACTATCTAATTTAGCCAATTAAGGTGACCTGACCATTAGCGTACCGCTGAAGAACCTTGAAGTAAAGATGCTACTATGGAAATAATATCATATTGCGATATGGTAACGACTACGACTGAGATTTTACGTTACTTTTGTCATCAACTTGGACTGTTCAAGTACATATACTTACAAGAACTTGTTTTGTGTTATCTTTCTTAGATGAATACATACTTATGCAATTTGGACGTATCTCTGAGGACGTCTTTACAATGGACTATACGTTTCCTATGTGTGCCCTACAAGCATTTGGAATCGCTTTATCTTCTTTCGATAGTAAATTGGCATGCGAATAGTTATTTCTGCATTTACCACGAATTATGACTTTACAAACTTCATGTAGACAGTTAAAAGCAGGGTCTACTCATTTTTACTAAATTATATACTTTCTCACAACACACACCATATTCTCAGTATGAAATATTCAACCCTCAATGACCTCAATAGCCGTAAGATCCGTCGTAACGTCACTGAAATGTCCATGTTACATAATCTCTAACAACCGATTTTACATTCATTTATATTTGCATATCGCGTAAACCTAGACCTGAACACAAAGACCCTGTTTTTGAAACACGGATAACTATAAAAATAACTATTTCAAAGTAGTACTCAATAGATTAAAGATTGATGTTTAAAAATGTTTTTAGTTATATAACCTGATGTTTTTACTTGATTATACACTACGTCAAATAGTATTTGCAATAGATACATGATAGTAGAACAATTCATTTTACATAGCTAATTTTGCATACTAATTGCTTTTTATGAATAACTATCATCTGACAGTTGTATTGTTAAATTAAAGATCACTGTCTTTTCGATATACTGTGAAAAATCAAGACATAAGTTCTAAAATGTAAAATAGCATGAAGACATAAAAACGTATTGGGTTTACATTCCAATCCATTATTTTGAATATAGCTAACTAGTATTGAAACAGAAAGCTTTAAACTTTTGACTTGCTCAACAATCCAACCTGATTACTCAGTCCTTTGGTTTGGACTGCGCAACACTTTAGTTCACAAACTGTAGCCAAGTAATAAAGACTGCTCCTGATTTTCTGAAGCTGCAACGCGTATTTAATATTTCTTATATACGACGGTATGTTCCGCACCCAGTCTCTGTTTGCTCCGTAGTTTCACATAACAACTAGATGCCATCAACCAAATATGAATAACGTCTATTATACAAAATACTTACATTTGATGTAAAAACAGTTCTCGAGTTGTTTTACTTCATGAGAAAGTTGATACTAATAAGGGAACTAATAAGTTCCCTCGACCGTTGCTGCTACCTTGACGTGGTGGTCGGGCTTGCCTATCGTGATGAAGCAATCGAGCTATGCTGGCTGGAACAATCGTTCCTCGAGGTCCTACCATGCCAGACAGGTCGGTTGAAGAGCGGTAAGACTAAAAGCAGCAATCCCAAGGTCCGAAGGCGAAGTCGTATTGCCGACTGTACAGAGGTGTGACGGCAGTAAGGTGTTTCCTTCAGACAACCAGCATGACAGCGATGCTGCCTTCCCACAAGGAGGGGTGGGGTTAGAAAAGGTCGACCCTAAAAATGCACACCTCGCCTTATCCCACGGATTTCCGTCTCCGGTGGTAAGGTCCTTTGAAGAACGGAGCTAACACTTCAAAAATCCCCAACAAAAAGGTCGTGCGTGACCGGCCTCAAGCAGTTGTCCCTTGGGCACTGCGATCACGCTCCCAGGTCGTTAAGACCAACACTAATCCAACTTCTTTTTCAGATCCCTCAAGAAATACCCTTCCACGGTGTGGGCAGCCGGGAAGTGATAAATACCCTCATACCCATAACAGCACACGAGACCAAGTTGGTCGCTTTCAAATCCTTCCTACATCTCCTAACAACTCTCTTATCTCCACGACTAACCCTTCCCACGTCCTTTTATCACCTCGCACCGCTAGGGCAAACGATTCGTGTACACGGAACGTTATTCCTGGTCTCCTGAAACCTCGCTCTAAACTACATGTAGGAACTTTTAATGTTCGAACATTGTGCCAAATAAGACAACAGGCTTCCTTAGCTAGGGCTTTAGAATTTTACACCATCGATGTGTGCTGCGTCTCCGAAACACGCATACAAGATCCGAGTAGCGTCATTCATTTGACCTCACCTAATCAAAATAAAGAACCATCTCGATACACGCTTCGTCTATCTGGAAGCCCTGATGCTGCTTCCCGTGGCCTTGCTGGAGTAGGTATAGCATTAAGTCCTAGGGCAGAACTAGCTCTTTTAGACTGGATCCCAGTAGACAGTCGTCTATGCGCTGTCCGACTAAACGGATCAGTAAGGACTCGGAAAGATAGGGGGACTCGTCGTTGTCTCTTCGTCATCTCTGCCTACTCTCCCACTGACTGTAGCTCAGACGATATAAAAGATGAGTTTTACAGGGAACTTTCTGACCTTCTCCGAAAAGCTAGGCGTTCTGAGGTAGTAATAGTGGCTGGTGACTTTAATGCGCAAGTAGGTAAACTAAGTGAAAGACACCTGGGTGGATCTTATGGTGTCATGGCGGAAAGAACAGATAATGGCGACCGTCTGTTGCAGCTATGCTCAGATAACCGCCTATTTCTTGCAAATACCAAATTTAAGCATAAGGAAAAACATCTTTTGACATGGCGACCCCCGAATTTGTCCCAACGTTGGACCCAATTAGATCACATCGCTATCAGCCACCGATGGAGGGGCTCGATAGAAGACTGTCGCTCATTCTGGGGCACATGTTTAGATTCAGATCATGCTCTAGTGCGAGCACGTATCTGTCTGCGTCTTACTGGTCGTAGGAAAGACACTGCAGGGAAGCCTCTAAGGGTTCTACTTAATGATAGGCAAGCTAAGAATATATTTCAGGAACAACTGGAAAAACAGTTAGACAGACATGTAAGTTGTGTCCACCCCGAAGCAGCGTGGAATGACATCCGAAAAGCTGTGATATCCGCTAGTAAGGTAAGCCATAAGGTCAGGGAAAAACAATGGATCTCGGCAGCATCTACCGCACTGATAGATGCTCGAAAACTCATGGCTCTGAACATAACGAAGAGCGGAGTCAGCTCAAGCGAAGGCTAATAAGAAGCCTACGAAATGATCGTGAACAGTGGTGGGTAGCGAAAGCAAGAAAGATGGAAAAGGCGGCGGCAATAGATGACAGCAGACAGCTGTTCAAACTTATTAAAGAAACCGGCATATCATTCATTCCCAATCCAGGAGATTGGATCGATGGACAGAACACCTTAGGGATCAGTTCAACTGGCCTTCAGCCACACTTCAGTTACCCACGATCCCCAGTCGTCCTAAATGGCAAATTGAGGTAAGTCCTCCAACTCTCTACGAGGTTGAAAAAGCTATAGGAATTCTGAAGCAAGGGAGAGCAGCAGGCCCTGACAGGTTTACTCCTGAGTTTTTAAGGATGTTGGTCCAGTACTAGCAGTGAGATTGACTGAGGTCTTAGGTAGAATCTGGGAACTGGACGTAATTCCATCTGACTGGTCCCAATCACTGATTGTGCCAGTCTATAAGAAAGGACAAAAGTCCTCCTGTGACAATCACAGAGGGATCGGTTTGACTAATATAGTGTCTAAAATATTAACTTCAATAATACTTGGACGCCAAACCAAAGCTCGTGAAGAGCAGACTAACGAAACCAGGCTGGTTTTCGACCTGGACGTGGTTGCATAGACCAGATACTCACTCTTCGTCAGGTCCTAGAACATAGACATACATTCAGACGTCCCACAATAGTAGTATTTCTTGACCTTAAGGCGGCATTTGACTCAATTGATCGTGAGGTTCTATAGCAGTGTATGTCAGTGAAAGGAGTACCAAAGAAATACATTAACCTCATAAAGGCTCTCTACTTGAACACAACTAGTCGAGTAAGAGCCTATGGTGAACTGTCATCAGAATTGATTACCTGAATTGGTGTTCGTCAGGGCTGTCCACTCTCCCCATTCTTGTTTAACTTTGTCGTTGACATGCTTTTAGAGATAGCACTTTCATCATCTCAATCTCCTGAAGTTGAACTTTTACCAGGAGGCTCACTTATTGACTTAGAATAGGCCGACGACATAGTTTTATTCGGTGAAGACTGACAAAATGCAGAGTCTTCTGACCACTATAAGCAACAATGCAAGCATGTTCGGGATGCGATTCTCTCCCTCGAAGTGCAAAATGTTACTTCAGGATTGGGTTGCAGCGACACCTGAACTAATGATAGGGAGTGTAGTAGTTGAGCGTGTTGACAGCTTCACTTATCTTGGGAGTCTCATCAGCCCTTGTGGTCTGGTGTGTGACGAAATCTCAGCACGCATACAGAAGGCACGTCTAGCTTTCGCCAACTTGCGTCATTTATGGCGTAGGCGAGATATCCGTCTAGCAACTAAAGGACGGGTTTACTGTGCAGCAGTTCGCTCCGTCCTACTTTATGGCAGTGAAACATAGCCGATAAGAGTAGAGGATATTCGTAGGCTACTAGTTTTTGATCACAGGTGTCTTCGAAGCATTGCTCGTATATCCTGGGACCACCGGGTAAGTAATGCAGTTGATGGGAAACGGGTACTAGGTAAGGATGGCAAATCGATTGATGAAGTAGTGAATCTTCATCAGTTGAGATGGCTGGGACATGTGTTACGTATGCCCAACCACCGACTGCCCCGACGTGCAATGCTTTATAGTGTAGGAGTAGGTTGGAAGAAAGCTAGGGGCGGCCAGACCAAAACATGGCATAAATCCATGAAGTCACTGACAAGTGGACTGGGCCGTGTTGGTAGGTGTGGACTACCTGGTTGGGATTCGCGAGATGATAGCAACCGATGGTTAGAGACCTTGAATGACATGGCTCAAAATCGTTTGCAATGGCGAAGGTGCATACACTCTTTGTGTTCTACCAACTTCTAATCTTCTGAATTCCTCATGTCTCTATCATTTTTCTCTTTCCAAATTTATTTCACTGTACTATACTCCTTCAATAATTTCTTCAAACCCTAATCTTTTGGATTTCTGATTATACTCCTACTACTTCTGCCACTATGGGATTTGAATAGACAACTGCATCTCCGTGCTAATGTGGTATGACAACTCGAACTGATGTACGTACGTACGAAGTTCTACGTTGTAACTGACTGACTAATAAGTTCCGAGTTGTGGTAGCTATAATGCCGAATAACTGATCTAGATAAATGCCCTTACAATAAAATTTGGATTTGAAACCTACCTCACGATTAAGGTTCAGGGTGTAGCACTACCCTATCTGGTTGGATTCGCGAGATGATAGAAATCGATGGTTGGAAACCTTGCCTGACATGGCTCAAAATCGTTTGCAATGGCGAAGGTGCATCCACTCTGTGTTCTGCCAAATTCTTATCTTCTGAATTCTTCATGTCTGTCTTTCTTCTCTCTCGAAATTTATTTTCTTGGATTATACTCCTTCAATAATTTCTTCAAACCCTAATCTTTCCGATTACTGCTTATACTCTTACTACTTTTACCACTATGGGATTTGGATCGACAACTGCATCTTTGTGCTAATGTAGTATGGCAACTCAAACTGATGTACGAAGTTCTACGCTGTGACTGACTACCTCAACAGTGACTACAGTAACTTAATGATCAGAGTACTATTTAATACTGCTACATAAGGATGACAATGGGCTGATTTCCGACAACCCTAAGAACATATGTTCGATTGTTTACAGTACATGTTTCGGATATGGCACTTCGAAATATTCGTTCCGTTCTCTGCCCCAACTACTATAGCAGTGATACAAATACTTCGTGACGATAAAGTAATGTGTCCGAAAAATTATATATATATATATATACATATATATGACGTATTCTAACCATAAATCAGACCACTAGCAAACGATTCGACTGTCCGTAATTTACGATTAACGAAGAGCCTATCGTATGTGTAGACCCAAGTTGTCACACCACACTAGGACGATAAGATGAATACAAACGATGGAGAGATTCGTATGAATGAATATCTGAACCCAAGGCCTTGAAGAAAAAAGAGTTTGTTCGTAACTTTATGACTGATTAGGCTAAAATGTAATTACACACTGCGAAGTAGGTTAATTATCTCACGGATAACCAAACTGTGTGCATACCCACACCTCCTAGGACTGAAATATTAGACGATGTTGACAGGATGAAATGAACTTACATTGAATCTTTCTGCTATCTTGGAGAACTTGTTCGACCCTATATCAAAGGCGTACTTGAGGTTAGATAAGGAACCATTAGGAAAGGAAACAACGGTTGCAACAGAACCACATATGGATGCGTAAACCAACTTGCGGAAAGAACGGCCTTCAAAAATCAGTCTAAAAACACAACTGAACTCACCTTTATATCCAAGGACCCAGCCTCCCAAACTACAACTAACAATGAATCCTAGACGAGCTAATATAACCGGTTCGTCCCTTATTGTTTTAGCTATAGCTAATTCCGAAAATATGAAACATAACTGACGTACATGCCGTGAAACTGCTAAGTTTTGATTGGTACTTCAATGCATGTTTCTGTAGATCAGTATAGCAAAACCTGTGACGAAAACTACCTGTGAGAGTGTAAGAACTTCTTGAGCTTTTGTCCTTATGGGACGAACAGAATCCATAAGAATATTTTTAACTGGGTTTGGCTCTAATCTTTCGAGAACATACGTCTTATTGCCGATACACTCTGTATAGATTGGCAACTAGGGCACGTTAGCATAAAAGAAGACAAACCTCATCCAATTTCATGTTTACCGCCGAATCCAGGGACTTCAGTATCTTTAAAATACCTAATGTAAACTAAGTGTCCAAAACCATTATCTGGAAGTTTTGTATCATTTGCACCAGCTTAGTTCCAAAAAATGCACTAATTATCATTATTTCAAGTCATTCACTTCTCCCATGTTCTCTTCATTGGACTATAGGGCTGTTAAAACTGAGAATATTATATTACCAGTAGTGTAGTTAGTCTTAGAGTAACGGGATATGAAGAATATATGGCTAGATATGAATAAAAAGTGAGGCAGGAATAAAATGATAATTAAGACAAATATGTAAGTGGGGAGATACGAAGAAATATCAACACATGTCACATTGGGTGGAAGGAGGCTGATCTCTCCAACTTCATCTTATTCAGTGATTTCACTGGTCGTCCCACTTGGCTGAGGGAGGTTTGTGTGTTTCTAATGCTCATCTAACATTTGCTTGGAACGGTCCACTAAAGAGGCTGTAGTTACGATGGTTATTAGGGCGTTCCATATGGAACAAATACGTGGTGTATAAACTGGGGTGTTACCTTGATATTTTCCCATTGGTGAACAACCCTGTGAGGATTTTTCCAGTGCGTCATCATGGTGACGCTCCGATAGGATTACCTTGCTGCAATGGTTGGAGCTATTTACGGTATTGCAGGCTGTGATTTCACACTCCTTTCTTCTGTAGGCTTGAGATTTTATTTATCTAGATACATACACTGAAGATGTTACAAGTATTCAGTAGTTAGAAAACACTTTAACCATCAACTCCTATAATCCAATCGTGCTCACCCGTTGAAATCAAAAGTCAGAAGTAAAGGGTTTTGGTGGAATATTTGATAGATTATCAATATATCGAGGATTGACTGATCTAGTGATTGCAGGAGAAGTTGAGCACGGTGCGGATGTACGACCAAACACCTTCAGCTAGGTGAGTCCATTAAAACTAATGTGGTCAGCATCCAATGTCGAACACTTACGAAGCTATTGATTTCGGGGATTTACTTACCGCTACAGATCACTCCCCTCTAGTGGGGAAGTGGTGATTCTACTACGTGGCCAGTCAGAAGTTTGAACCAAACGAGTTTGTCGTTGGTAAACACTTTTCTGATAGCTTGCTAAGTTTAGCAGCGTCTGGTCGTCTTTTCTTACCATAGTGGGCCGCAAAGTACAACACAGCAATGAGGAAACAACGTACAATCCAAATTTCGGTTCTTTGTCAACTTCTTTATTTTTTCTATCGTCTTTTCTAACCCTCCTAGAAAAGAAAAAAGAATATGTAAGTGCATGTCGAAGTACACTCGTACGCGCGCAAAGATACAAAGCAGGCGAAGAAAGGTAGATAAACCCATACATCTGCGACAGCGTAAATGCGATTTTCAAAAAACTTTCCCTCCCCGTTTTTCAAGAAAAAAATTAAATACACACATATTAGCAAAAGAAAATTTTGTTCGTTTTTTGGAATTAAATATATAGGTATAAGCATGTTAAATTTTTTATTATATACAATGCAAAGGAAAATCGAGATATGGCAAAATATTAACTGGTGTCTTACGTGCAATTGTCGTTTGAATGTTCTAGAGATCTTACTCTTCTACCACAACGCATTGTTTTAAGTTTATTTTCAGATAATGCCGAAGTGTCAACAACCGTGTTGGCTGTCGGATGAGGTATTATAAGTGTAAGAGCTGTGTCGTTCCATTGTACTGAAGGAAAATCGTGAGTAGGATTTCGTTCTAAATACGCGGCTTTTATTCGCTCGATGCTGATGCTATCGGTAGTGCCCTTCTTATTGACGATTTAGTACTTGGGTTCGCGCTGAAGAACTTTGGAGGGTCCTTTCTATGTTGATTCGGTGGGTCATCGATGTGAGTCTCAACATACGAAGACATGTGTAATATATCGTAAGTCAGGTTGAACGAAAACATTAGTTGTCTGCGGTCGAGTGGAAACAGGTTTAACCGAACACATTACAATTGTAAGCTTGCTCGTGTATGGGCTTGGATCCATATTCACCTTAGACTTCTGGTAGCTTACACAGGAGCGTGACCACTACCTCACGTCTTTATTCATACCAGACCGGCAAAACCGTTCTGCTATAAGCTTGATCGATGCACAAACACCTGAATGAGAAAGTTTGTGCAACGGACTGAAGACGTCGAATCGATTCCTTGGAATCTGTTCAAGTAACATATGCCAGACAAAGCGTCTACAACTACATTGTTTGCTTCAGAAATGTGTTGTATATCTGAAGAAAACTGCGAAATGTAGTCCAGTTGTCGAGACTCACGAGGTGAATACTTGTCTGAAGATTAGCTTAAAGTGAAGGTAAGAGGTTTGTGATCGGCAAAAAGTGTGCATTCTCTTCCTTCGATGGAGTGTTGGAAATGCCGTACAGCACAATACATAGATGGGAGCACCCTGCCGAACGTCCTGTACCTAGATTCAGTGTCTAGCAACCGTCTCGAGAAAAATCCTAAAGGATGCCAGAGTGGTTAACCCATTGTTGCAAGACTCCTATTGCTGAGTTGGATGCGGCTCCTTCGTGTGCTGATTCGAGGGGTCATAATCTTGTACCACAGACGTTATGTTCAATATTTCTTCACATATCCTGATGGAATCAATACGTGGTCTATTCGCAACTCTCGTGCAATCAATTTCGATTACGGGTAAAAATTTTCAGCAGACAATGTTATTCGAAAGGTAATAATTCATCTACTTCATTGTACTATTATGACCAGTATCTTATCTGTATAAATGTGTACGCTTTGTCACATGACAGTCTATGCACATCTCTCTCTAGCTTAAATGTTGGTAGATTGAAAATTGCTCGATGAATCATCCGTTTACTCATGTATATATGTACTCGGATCATATCATTAGTCTTTTGCCTAGCCTAGCTACGCCTTGATTCGATTTGAATATAAATTTGCCTCATTCACATATTCATTTCTCTGCTTCAATCTGCTCGATGTACTTTTACCTTTGCCGTCCGTGCTATCCGCTAGTAAACTGTAGTCTTCGTTTCTTTCTGATTTAAAATACTGTTCGGATTTATATAATAACGATTATCAAGATGATTGATCAACGATACTAAGCCACTGCAGTTTTTCACACATACACAATTCACAGCTTGATAATGATATAACGTATAGATTTCTGGGCCGACTAATATATATAAACGTTCAATGATACGTACGAGCAGTCTTGGGTGCTATTCGGTCCTTCCTATCTGCCTAGCCCAGTCGTTAAGTCCAGAACACAAATAACAGCCTCAGCAATATGAATCATTATTTACAAGCATACTGGGTTATATATACTAACCAAACAGACCACATATATCAAAAATAGAAAAATAACATTTGTACAGTAATTGGCCAATGTGGCTGTAGCTAGGGGGAAAGTAATCAATAATAATAGTTCCAAGGTCAAAATAAAGGTATGATAAGAGGAACACGGAAACGATTAGGTCACTTATTTAACAACTATCCAATAGGGAATGGGCATATTGTATTTGTCCATAAATAGACCTCAGATTTAGTCACTTATTTAACAACTATCCAATAGGAATAGGCGTATTACATTTGTCCATAAATGGACCTCAGATTTATGATTCATAATTCGCCAGGGGATACAACAGATAATAAAATCGTTGAAAAAAGATTGTGGTGGTAAGTAAATCCTCGAAATCCATAGCTTTGTAAGTGTGTCGACATTGGATGCTGATCACATTAGTTTTGATGTACTCAACTATCTAAAGGCGCTTGGTCATGCATCAGCACCAGAACTCGAGTTGGGTGCTCACCATAACAGATTAGTTTATGCGGATAGTTCCTACTCTTTACGGTGAATCACGTTTCAGTGTTGTCTGTTGACCGCGTACGTTCAGAAAGGTTTTTTAGAGTCATTCGAGAGGAAAGTTTAAACACTTTTATGAACTAATAATTGTTTTCAGTCGAAATTCATTATCGACGCGATTTTTTCTTGTTTTATAAACCTGAGTCCCCACTTAGAGTTATCTGTGATTGATTGCTATGTAGCACGTTATATTTTGACGTTCACTTGGGAGCAGGAGTGACCTGAAACAACAACATATTAGTCAGGACCGACAAGTGCCTCTGAAGTGAGAACACAGTGTGCTGGTACAACAGATATATTTGAAATTGAAAGACGCGGTTCGAGTACAAAAAGGGAAAGTTATTACAAAATGGTTTTACTCGTTATTCTGCAGGTTCAGATCGCGTAGGGCTTGTCCCTCTTCTTCCTGTGCATTTACTCTTTGTTGCCCTGCAATAAGAAATACAAACTCGCATTAGTAATGTTGCATGTAATGATTTTTATTACCGTTGCACTACAACCTCTCTCCATGAGGCGCTCTGCTCAGTGCCTGGTTGAGGGCATGGGTATGCTATCCCTCCTTCTGGTGGCACTTCATAATGGCTGGTAGGAGTCGGGGGATTGACAAACTGGGTATCTAAGTGCACCGTTGTTCTATCTGGCTTCGATTGTTTGTAGCGTGCTGTTATAACGTCGTCTTGAGGCAACTGGAGGTTATGTAGGATGAATGTAGTAGGGGACCGAATAAATACAGTTTCATAAGGCTCTTTCCAAAGCTGGTGGAACTTACCGCATGTTCCTGGTGGGACCATCGGGCGATGCAGCCAAACACGATCTCCAGTTTTATATACAGGCCTGCTCGCTTGTCGATCGTACACATCCTTTTGGTGTTTGCTGGCATTTTATAGGTTGGCTTTAAGTAGACGAAATGCGTCGGCTAGACGGCTAAGAAGGTTACGAACGTATGGTACTTTGTCCTGATCTTTGCAAGGCAACAACGGCCTTTGGATCTCAACAGGCAGGCGTAATTCATGTCCGAAGAGTAAAATCGCGGGTGAAAATCCCGTGGAGCCGTGCACTGACGCGGTAAGCTAAAAGGCATTGAAGTATTGCATTATCCCAAAATCCCGTCGACGAATTATTGACAAACTCTTGTAGGACGGTTTTAATGGTTCGGTTTTTCTTTCTACTAAGCCGTTTCCTTCAGGGTGGTATGCAGCAGTGTGTGTTTTGCGAATTCCCATACGTGGGCGACGAGATGGCTTTCAAAAATGTTATCTTGGTCAGAGTGGAGTGGGAATAGAGCGCCACAAAGGGTGGCCCAATGATCAATGAAAGCTCGAAAGACCGTGAGGGCATCTTGTTGTGGTATAGGGACGGCTTCACACCATTTGCTAAAACAGTCCACCATTACCAGTATATAAGTGTTTCCGTTCTTTGATGTTGTAAGAGGCCCCATAATATCGATACCAACTCGCTGATGTGGACCTTCTGTCGTCTTTGAGAATAACGGTGCACAGGGTCTTTGTTGAGGTGACTTGATGACATGGCACGTGCTACAATTTTTGTAGAATTTTGTCACAACTTCATGGATGGATGTCCACGAAACCCTCTGGCAAATCGCACGTTCGGTCTTCCGTTTCCTCGAGTGCCCGAGTTGTCGGTGCACTTGCTCCATAATATTTTGAACTTGTACACATGGTACTATCAACAGTAGCTGTTTTGACTCGCTGACTATAAATAGCGTGTTCCCATACAATCTCAGGCTACTCTACTTGGCACAAAGACGGCGCGTCGCTGAGGAATGATCCTTTAACTTTGCCGCAGAAGGTTTGTCGTTTCCGTGTTGTTGTCGTAGGTAAATGAACTGCAGGTCAGGGTTCGTTGCTTGAAGAGACGGCCAGTCGATCTCGGGGGCTGTGCTAAGGACAGCACTAATGGTACTAGGAAAATAGGGTATACGAGACAAAGGATCGGCGTTTGTGTGACGGCTGCCTGGTCGGTATTCGCAAGTAAAATCGAACTCCTGAAATCTCTCCTACCAGCGTGCCACCTGACCTACTGGTTCGCGAAATGAACGAAGCCACTGCAATGCATGATGGTCTGTGCCTACACGGAGGTAGGAGGTAGTGACGAAAATATTGCGAAAATTTTACCAAAGCCAACATCTCCCGGCGCGTCGTAGAATACCTTGTTTCTCTCTTATCTAACCGCCGGCTAGCGTACGCTATGACTTTCTCCTGTCCATCTTGTGTTGTTTGAGCAAAGACTGCTCCGATAACTGACGAGCTAGCATCAGTATCAAGTGTAAACTCACCTCCTTTATCTGAAATGTCTGAAAAAGCTAGTATGGGTGGAGCAGCAAGACATGACTTCAGGGTGTTAAATGCCTGTTGGCATACTGTGGTCCACAACAATTTCAGTCCTTTATGCGTCAGGCGATGTGAAGTTTCTGCTAGGGATGCGAAATCGCGCACGAAACGTCTATAGTAAAAAGCGAGCCCCAGGAAGCTACGTACCTCCGCAGCAGATTTCGGCTATAGTCAGTTAATAACGGCGCTCGATTTTTCCTTATCTATTGATACCCCATCTTCTGTAATGCGATGTCCTAGGAAGAGTACTTCTTTTTGCGAGAGTCGACATTCGGGTGGTTTCACCTCTAAATTGTGCTGCTTAATACGCTGTTAGACTGCCCTCAAGTTTGCATCATGCTGTTCGGGCGTGCTGCCATATACAATAATATCATCAAGGTAGATCAAACACTTGTGTTGTAAGAGGCCATGTAGAACTGTCTGCATGAGTAGTTGGAAGGTTGCTTATGCATTAGTTAACCCGAAAGACATCACCTGAAATTCTTAGAGACCAACGAATGAAGTCTTCTTTCTATCTTGAGGTCGTACTTCTACTTGCCAGTACTCGGATGCTAGGTCTAAAGTTGAAAATCAGCATAAACCATTTACACCGCGTTTCTCAATGTTAGCGCTACACTTGGTATGTAGCGTGGTTTTAAGAAAGGTTTGTTATTCGCCCTCCCGATTGTGTATGTTTAGTGGAGCAAATAATTCTCACTAGCTTCCGGTTTCGCATCACCACATTGTTTACAGTGTATCAGTTTAGTTTGTAAATCAATGTTGCTAGTATTGTGAAAGTACAACGATATCTTTACTAGCTTCTGTTTTTGAGCCATATTCATGAATGTTCAATTGCTTTGGGATGCACTGTTGCTAGGGCTTCCACTTGGAAGTTTTGGTGAACCGGCGCTTCCAGACCTTCTCCTCATTCATTCCCGGAGTTGGGTAATAATACAAACATATAAGTCACAGGCGTGACATTCGTAAAATACATCCAGGCCACCGAAACAGCTGTTTTAAAATGATAGTGTTGATGAAATTACTGCTTCTGCATCCAAATACATATTGTCCATAGATGATTCGATCTCTACACCTGACCTCGAAGGGTGGAGAGCTCTTCACAAAGCCGTCTCTCACAGTGTCTGATGACAGCCACTCTCTTGACGTGACATCTTGATGATCTAATCGAACCATATAGGCTGGAATGCTCGTTACTTCAGGTTTTGCCGTGCCCAACAGTTGGAAGATGGTAAGCTTAGGAAGTGGCTAATTCATGTGTTATCTGTCAAGCATTTGTTTCTTGGACACTGCAGTTACGCCCACAGGTCTTCAGTAGCACTCTTAATGCATATTCGTTTTCAGGTACCTCAAGAAGAGGCATCGTTCTACAATATGTGCAACCGGGAGGTAGCAGTCGCCCTCATACCTCTAACAACTCACGAGATCACCTCGTTTAAAATCAATTCCCATCTTCATTAATGAATGTTTCTTCCATTCCTTCGACCCAATAACATCCGTTGTTGACTTTAACATGTAACCCCAGTACTAACGACTCGAGTTCACAGAGTCAAATCCCAGGTCTTCCTAAACTACGCTATAAGCTACTTATTGGAACCTTCAATTTTCGAATCCTATGTCAAATAAGGCAACAGGAGGCACTAGCTTAGGTCACAGAATCTCGCGATATATGTCTGCTGTCTCCGAAACAACCGTGCAGTAACCCAGTTTGGTCATTCACTTGATTTCACCTACCCAGTAGGATATTCTTTCCATATATCTGAGAATACGATAGCAGCTTCTCGTGGCAGGGGTAAGTATAGCATTAAATTTGAGAGAACAAGCTTTCAGAGACTGAATTCTAGGAGATAGTCTCTCTCTTCCAACCATCCCCAATACTAGTCAGCATTGTGCGTCGTGGTAATCGGTGTTCAGGCATACGTAACACGTGGCCCAACCATCTCAGTCGATAAAGATTCATGACCTCATCAACTGATTTACCATCATCTCCTAATACCCTGCGTCTAACCTCACTATTACTTACCCGGTTATCCCAGCAGATGCGAGCAATATTTCTAAGACATCTGTGGTCAAATACGAGTATCTTCTACTCTTAATGGCTATGTTTCGCAGCCGTAAAGTAGAACAGAGCGCAGTATACTCGTCCCTTAATTGATAGACGGATATCTCGTATTCACCATAGGTGACGTAAGTTGGCAAAAGCCAAACGAGCTTTTTGAATCCGTGCTGAGATTTCGTCAAACACCAACCGATTAGGGCTGATCAGAGTTCGACTACTTCACTCCCTATTCCTAGTTCAGGTGTTGACGCAGGCCAGTCCTGGAGTAACAATTTACATTTGGATGGGGAGAAACGCATCCCAAACATCCTGGCGTTATTACTCGGTTGTAACAGAAGACTCTAATCGTGCTCAGATAAGTACTTGATCCTAGTAGCCAATAGCTGTAGACTTGAACAGGTATGTTGTCTAATTTGGTTACCCCAAACATCAATATAACAACAGACACAAATAAACCATATCGCCATCAGCTGTTTTCGAGTCTCAGCGAAAGTCTGTTACAGCCCCTGTAGTACATGGTTGGACGCAAATCATACTCAAATGAAATCACGCATTTTCATGCGTTTTAATGAACATAGAAAACCCATATCATAGAAACCCCTTTAGATATCAATTGGGAAATGAAATAGTCAAGAAAATATTGGAGAAGAATTTGCTTAGTACTTAGCCGCTGATGAAGCGAAAGTTCGTTCTGAATAAGCTAAGCATAATATCCAGTTAGCTGCTATCAACCTAAACTAAAATGTTGGAAAAGACTAGCGGATTTCGGCGGCATTTGTTGAATTGCTACATGATCTAAAACATCCCAATAAGCTCAATAAATGACAAAAGCGGTGAAAACACAGACAGACTAACACACAACGAATGTCGTCTCAGCAAATCCCATATGCATTATTTGCGGATGCTGAAACTAATTGGAAAAAGCGGTGAAGTGATCAGTATTTAACATGGTACTGGGATGTGAAAGAAAATTGTTTGTACAGAATTAGCATTTGTCGTTCCTTCACGACTCCATGGTTGGGGTCCTAGAAATAGTGTGACAGTTTGAGATGTTCGATATGACTCGTAATAGAAGCCAGTGGCGGTCCTACAGCCTCGGATTTCTTCGCTCATCTCTGCTTCTTTAGAATGATTGGTAGTGACAGACCAAGGAACGGTAGATAGTCTAATGAACGTTGACCAGTTGAAATATCCCTTGTAGTTCTCCACTTCCAGAGTTCAAGAAGCCTTTGAAGACTACTGTTTTGTGTCACATCAGTTTTATAAACTATTTCACTAACAGCTTCTTACTTTCAGTGGTCGGATGTATTGGAACAATGTAGAGAAAGGATGCTGAGCAGCATATTGGCAATAACTGTGCTGCACAAAACCATAGAAGGCGGCCACCATTATTTGACCTGCAACCACCAAGCCTCCGTTTACCACTCAAATAATTAACCTCTGTGCCTAAATCCTCAACTCGTATATTCAAACTCCAGCTAATAAGCACTATAATCTGGTGAACACTCTCCACAAAAGTAATTACTTAGGTGATGGCAGAATTCATTATTTGTTATATTAGGACTGAAATCCGCAGATAGTGTGAAATTATTGTTTCCCACTCTAGTTTCTCATCGCTTTGGTGTCTGATTGAATAATGCTTCTTCGATGATTAGTGCATCAGGACTTTCAACAAAGACAAGCTGCCGAATTAAATAAAAAGTTGAACCTGAAGTAAAATAAGTTTGATCACGATAAAATTGTAAATTTACTTCGGATAGATAGTGAGGCAAAAATAGATTTTCTACATAATTGTTTATCATGCCTGTGTGGACTGGAATGATTCCCAGATTAAAGCCGGCGATTACTGTTAGAGGTCTTTATATAAAAATCTAATAGGAAAGCGTATAGAGGGAATAGAATGACGTCAGGAGATTGACAGTCGTGGGGAGTTTTTAATATCATGTACGCGTAAAAAAACCAGACACCTCACATGCTATTTCCCGGTCAGATATCAGGTAAATTAAAAACACGGTTTTATTTATTCATTTATTTAATCACATATATTGGCACAAAGGGCACCGGATACATATGCGCCACACAAAATAATGAGAATGGGAGGAGAAGGAAGAAGATGTGTATATATATGAAAGAAGGGAAAAAAAGAAGAGCAGTGATGGGGGTGGAACTGAAATGTACAACCAGAGGAGCTCTCTCAGTTAAGAAAGTTATAGCCACTCTTTATGAAGAGAGTAAAAGAAGGTTACAGCGGGCTCGCTACTGGCTTCTATTATGAGCCATATCTGATAACGTCTCTTGCCACTGTGTTGCACCATCCCTCGGACCCCAGCCAGGGAATCGTGAAGGACCAACAGAAGCTAGCCCTTTGCAGCTTTCTTTCATACCACGACACCATGTCATACACTGACCACCTCTCCGCTTTCTCCAACCAGTCCCAGAGTCAGCAAATAATGCACGACGTGGAATTCTCTGGGACGACATTCGTAGAACATATCCAAGCCACCGAAGTCGGTGTTTCAAGATGGCGACACCAATTGAATTATCGTCTCTGCGCCCGAACACACGATGCCGAACCTCTGCATTACTAACATGGTGATGCCACTGGATGTCAACAATCCGTCGGAGACAACGATGATCGAACACAGAGAGACGTCTAACATCCTCAACTCGGAGAGGCCAGGTTTCACAAGCATAGAGCAAAACTGCTCTCAACGACGCGTTGTAAATCCGACCTTTTACAGCCAGACTAACATCACGAAGGCGACAAAGATGGCCCAGATTGGCATAAGTCGCTCTGGCTTTCGCTATACGTGCATCAATCTCATCACTCACGCCACCACCAGCACTTATGCTGCTACCTAGATACACGAACTTCTCAACTACTTCAATCTGCTCACCATCTAGGTTTTAGACGGTTTTAGAAGTCGATTATGCACCAGGTCTCAACCTGCTAGTCTTCGTCTGATTCAGAGAAATATATATACTCTTGATTTTTGTACATTCAAGTTCGGTTTAGCAATTAAACCTTCTTACCTGTTTCAATCTTGTTTTAGTAGTGGATCTGGTCAGCCATAGGAAGTGTTTGTCGTATTTGGCTTATTTACTTACTTTCTTCTGTTACTCCCAATGGAGCATAGGCCGCCGACCAGTATTCTCCAACCCACTCTGTCCTGGACCTTCTTTTCTAGTTCTATCCAGTTTTTGTTCATTCTTCTCATGTCTGTTTCTATTTCTCGGCGTAATGTGTTCTTTGGTCTTCCTCTTCTCCTTTAACCTTCAGGATTCCATGTGAGGGCTTGTCTTGTGACGCAATTGGGTGATTTCCTCAAAGTGTGCCCTATCCACTTCCAGCGCTTCCTCCTGATTTCTTCCTCCGCTGGAATCTGATTTGTTGTCTCCCACAGTGACTTGTTGCTGATAGTGTCTGGCCATCGGATCCGAAGTATCTTTCGTAGACAACTGTTAATAAACACTTGTATCTTCTGGATAATGGCTTTCGTAGTTCTCCACGTCTCCGCCCCATACAATAGAACTGTCTTGACATTTGTATTGAAAATTCTAACCTTGGTGTTGGTTGACAATTGTGTTGAGCTCCAGATGTTTTTCAGTTGTAAGTATGCTGCTCTTGCTTTGCCGATCCTCGCCCTTACATCTGCATCTGATCCACCGTGTTCATCAATGATGCTGCCCAGATACGTAAAGGTTTCCACATCCTCCAAAGCTTCTCCGTCAAGTGTAATTTGATTGGTGCATATTGTATTGTATCGGAGTCTTGCTTTTCCCTTTGTTTATATTGAGACCTACTGCTGCTGAGGCTGCTGCTACACTGGTCGTTTTCTCCTGCATTTGTTGTTGCGTTTGTGATAGAAGGGCCAGATCATCCGCGAAGTCTAGATCGTCAAGTTGCATCCTGCCTGTCCACTGTATCCCGTGCTTTCCTCCAGTCGTTGACGTCCTCATGATCCAGTTGATCACCAGGAGAAAGAGAAAGGGTGAGAGTAAGCAACCTTGCCTAACACCGGTCTTTACCTCGAATGAGTCGGCGAGTTGTCCTCCGTGGACGATTTGGCAGTTTAGTCCATCATAGGAGTTCCGTATGATATTGACTATCTTCTCAGGCACGCCGTAGTGTCGGAGAAGCCTCCATAGTGTTGTCCTGTCCACGCTATCAAATGCCTTCTCGTAGTCGATGAAGTTGATGTAGAGTGATGAGTTCCATTCGATTGATTGTTCCACAATGATACGTAGAGTTGCGATTTGATCTGTGCACGATCTATCCTTACGAAATCCACCCTGTTGATCTCGAAGTTGGGCGTCTACGGAATCCTTCATCCTGTTTAACAATACCCTGTTGAAGACTTTTCCTGGTATTGAGAGGAGAGTGATGCCCCTGTAGTTGTCGCACTTGCTGAGATCGCCTTTCTTTGGTATTTTGATCAGAAGTCCTTTTTTCCAGTCTGTTGGTACTTGTTCTTCATCCCAAATCTTACTGAAGAGGATGTGTAGTATCTTGGCAGTTGCTGCTACATTTGCTTTCAGTGCCTCTGCCGGGATGTTGTCTGGTCCCGCTGCTTTGCCGCTCTTGATTTGTCTAATGGCCATGCTGATCTCTTCAATTGTTGGTGGGCCAACATCGATTGGGAGGTCTGTGGGTGCTGCTTCGATGTTGGGTGGGTTCAGTGGAGCTGGTCGATTTAAGAGTTCTTTGAAGTGTTCTACCCACCTGTTTCGTTGTTCTTCAATGTCGGTGATTACTTTGTCTTCCTTGCTTTTCACTGGTCGTTCTGGTTTACAATAATTTCCAGAGAGTTTCTTTGTTGCATCATACAGTTATCTCATGTTTCCTTCTCTTGCAGTCTTTTCTGCTGTCATTGCTAAATCTTCCACATATTTACGTTTGTCGATTTTGATGCTCCCCTTCACTTGCTTGTTTACTTCTGTGTATTCGGCTTGTGCCTTGGCTTTTTCTGCTCTTGTTCGGCTGCTATTGATTGCTGCCTTCTTGTTCCTCCTTCCTTCAATCTTATCCAGTGTATCAACAGTGATCCATTCCTTGTGATAGTGCTTCTTGTGACCCAGAACCTCCTGACATGTTGAAACGATTGCCTCCTTGATACCTTTCCAGTTGCTCTCCATGGTAGTTCCCTCTCCAATGAGTAGATCATGAAAGGCTTCGAACCTGTTGCTGAGGGCTATGTTGAATTTGTTGAGTTTGTCAGCATCTCGAAGAAAGGCCGTATTAAACTTTTGTGATGTTGTCCGAGCCGTTGTCCACTGCTTCCTAAGTTTTAGTTTCATGTTGGCGACCAGAAAATGATGATCGGATGCTACATCAGCTCCTCTTCTGGTTCTCACATCCTCCATCGTCCTCCTGAACGTTTTGTTGATGCAGATATGGTCGATTGGATTCTGTGTAGTGTGATCCGGTGAAATCCAAGTGGCTTTGTGTATGTTTTTGTGTGGGAATATGGTGCCACCTATGACCAGTTTATTGAAGGCACATAGGTTTGCAAATCTCTCACCATTTTCGTTCCTTTCTCCCAGTCCATGTTGTCCCATGACGTCTTCGTATCCAGTGTTGTCCTTTCCAACCTTGACATTGAGATCTCCCATCAGAATGGTCAGGTCATTTGTTGGGCACTTCTCGAAGATCTACTGCAGCCTATCGTAGAATTGGCCTTTAGCGTCTGCATCGTAGTCGTTGGTCGGCGCATAGAATTGTATGACGTTCATTGTAATTCCCTCTCTCTTTGTTTTGAAGGAGGCTTTGATGATCCTTGGTCCATGAGATTCCCATCTTATAAGTACATTTTGTGCTTGTTTGGACAGCATCAATGCAACTCCTTGTGTATGTGGGGCATTTTCTTCTTCATGACCGGAGTATACGAGAAGTTCTCCTGAAGACAGTCGTTGTTGTCCAACCTGCGTCCAATGCGTTTCACTGATTCCAAGCACCTCCAGGTTGTATTTTCTCATTTCTGAAGCAATTTGGGAGACTCTTCCGGTCTCCCACATTGTCCGGACATTCCATGTACCTATAAAAATTGTCGCTTTGGTTTTAAGAAGGTGCATCGGCCTCATGACTTCTTAATGAACTCGGCTTTCATCATGAGACGTCATAATTATTCCTTCAACTCCCAGGGCAGAGTTTGAATGGTTTGAATGAATTTTTCTGGTTAGCGTTTATTTTAGCGAGTTGATTTTCTACGGGATAGGGTCGCTAACCCCATGCCCAACCCTCCCCCTTTACCCGGGCTTGGGACCAGCAGCAACCCCCAGAGGAGCTACAGGCGGAGTTGTCGTATTTTGCGCCTCCATATATATTTGGTGCCTCCTTGTAACAATGTTTATGTGTTTGAATAAATAAATAGTGTTTGTCGTAACTGAATAGGACCGCATAACACAAAGGTTCAGCTAAGCGGAGTGGGTTTAATATTTCTCCGTCAGCAGTTATCATCCTACTTATATGTAGGACAAGTTACTACCCTAATTCTTGGGTTAAAACACATCACTTCTTTAAAGAATTACCCTCCAAGCTTTTGACTGAGATATATATCCCAGAAGGCAGGAAAGGGGCGTTGGGGAATGGACTGTCGTGGTCACTAGTGACCAAAATATCTTCTTACATCATGAGTTCCCTCAGGATCCTAAAGCCATATGTCAGACTGGAATTAAGCGTGTTACTCACGTCTGTTTCATTGGTGCTTACTCCATGAAAAAGTTGAGACCTGTATTTATTGCAAGGCTGATCAAAAATAAAGAATCTAGACGTCCCTTGAAAACTTTATTCTGGTCACTTATAACAACCAATATTCTTTTACTATTCAAGCAGAAAGCCTTAAAGAATATTGTATGGTTGTTACTCTTTAGAAACTTTATGCTAGCATACTATCCACTGATATCTTAGTTTATCATGTACTTGGATTATTTATCCTAACATAGTTGGGTACAAAGTCAAATAATTACTGAAAATTTAAAAAATATGTAAATTTTTTGGTGAGTCATTTATTCATACTTTCATAGACTAAAGCAAACTACATTTCGAAATTATGAAGTAACCACTTCTGAATTTAGTTTAGTCAAGTGAGTGCACTGAGGATTTTGACAAAATACGGTTTTTCTTCAGGCTCACACTGGTTAAAATATGTAAGCTATATTTACGTGCAACATTGTATAATCAGTTCAACGATTAATTTTTTACAGTTTTTATAGAATTTGCTGGAACATGTACATAGAGATCAGGTTTTGAATTAAGTCTGGATTTATTTCTCTTAGTGGCATGCTTTTACAAATCTTTCTGTGATGATTGTTTTATAGGCCAGCGGTTGCTCTACATGCTCATCTCACTGAACACAATTTATTTCAACTATCATACTTCAGGAATTGTCATTCATTAGTTGTCAAGTCTGTTGTTATAATCTTCTATTTCATCGTTTAAATTATGAAACAAAAACATTATCTTGTCCCATCATTTTTGGCCTCAAAGGGATTGGTTAAACTTCACATCGACTCTTTCAATCATTTTATTCAAACAGAAATAAAAAACATTGTCCGAGCAAACAGTCGTGTCAGTGTTCCAGAAGCCAATTGGTGGTTAGAGTATAATGACATATATATCAAACCTCCAACAGTAAATGATGGAGGGGTTGTCGCCAGCCGTGTTACTCCTCATGACTGCAGACTCCGTGATCTAACATATGCTGGTGAAATTCTTGTTGACGTCACGTTTGTTAGGCAGAACGAAGTAGTATCGAAAAAAGGTGTCCTTATTGGTCGCATGCCAATAATGCTAAAAAGTTCTATATGTGTACTAAATGGTAAGTCTTCGTGGTAGTTTACGAACATATATGTGAATTTTTTCAATCCTTCTAGACTCTCTTTAATGTTCTGTTTGTGTTAATCTTCCATACCAGTAGTTACACATAGTAAAAACATACGTTCATAATTTCGTTTGTCATACTCTACTTATTCTTGTCTCTACTCTATTTAAAGTACCCAAGTGATAGTGCTTTGGAAATTGATTTGGAAACTTCTAAGGTAACTTTAGGAAGACCTAGTAACTAACGTTTATTCTTAAAATTAAACAGCATCTTTTAATGGGGATCATGTACTATATACCATAAAAAGCTAATGTATTTATGTAGTTTGCTAATCGCATCAACAATAATGTTTTTATTCAGCGATTTTGAAATCCGTTTATTCAGGATTTCAGCAGCCGTGTCTCCTTTGAATTCCATATTCATAAACAAGCTTTTCTTCTACGCTGTCAAAGCTTTTTCTTGGTGAAGTCTAGTCTACTTGGAATGGACAATATACGAATTTCCATAATTGGGTTCCACTGAGTCGAAAGAGGAACTTAATTCACTCTTTATCCTCCAGGATCAAGCGAATCTGTTCCAGTGACACAATAAATGAAGAACTACTTCATCTTCGACAGACCCTCATAAAAAACAGTTATCCACCTATGTTCGTCGATAGCAACTTGACACCTAGACTTCACCAAGAAAAAGCTTTGGCAGTGCAGAAGAAAACCTTGTTTATGAATATAGAATTCAAAGGAGATACGGCTGCTGAAATCCTGAATAAACGGATTTCAAAATCATTGAATAAAGCTTTCTACACAGCCAAGCTTCGAATCGTTTTCTTTAGTCGGCCTACCATTTGGGGGTGTGTTAAGGATAAACTTTCGCTTTAGGCCACATCAATGTGTATCTATAAATTCACCTGCTCATGTGGAGCACGTTACATAGGCCACACAAAACGATCGCTTTCCAAACGCGTCTCGGAGCATTATCCGGCTTGGCTCCTAAAAGGAGAATGTAAAAAATAATGTCTTTTTTGATCTCAGACGAGCTTTAGCTGGAATTTTTTACCGATTTGAAGTACCAAAATATTCAAGCACATCAATAAAGTATTTTCTTTGTTGTTGGTTTCTTTATTATTTCTGTTATAATTAATTGATTGTGTAGCTTGTAACCCATTATCTTAAATACTATTAATTTATTGAAGATTGTTGTTCATGAGGTCGAAATTCCCTATTGACTAATCAAAAGTAAACACATTGTCCACATCCGTTTGAGACTTATGTTGTTGCCAATGTGTCTAGACCTTCGTTTATATTAAAATACAACCCATTTATTTTACTTCATAGATCACCGTCATATCACTTAACAATAAAGGTGTGGGTCACAACGTTCACCCGCTTATTAAGTTATATTTTCATCTTTTCAAATTGTTCTGTTGCTAATTCTTGATGAAATATCAAAATAATATAACAAGGATTAAATAGATTAATCTATTTGTTTATTGCAGTTACATTAGACAGTTATAAAAGCACGTTATTTTTTTTACTTATTTCACGTTCAGGGCCTTATACAATGGGGATCAAAAACTGTAACACAAATGAAAGTAATTGTTGTGTGAAGAAGTGAAAGAGGAAAGTTATATAATAATAGCAAGGTAAAAAATATCAGAGGCTTGAGTTTCTGCATAAACCCAACAAAGATAGACCTCTCTATGAAAAATACAGTATTGTAGTAGAGTCACTACAGGCTTTTTTTCTGGCCAAATATCTGATTGCGTCTCAAGCCATTGGGTTGCTTAATTTCTGGGATTCTACGTAAGGATTCATAATTTTCTAGTCCATGTCAACCGGTCACAAATAGCCTTTATTTTTAGCTCAACAAAATAATTTTAACTATTCAGAATCTATAATTTCCCAAAATCCTTAGTTTATCTACCATTTACTCAGTGATAAGCAGATAATCGAATTATTTGCAGTCAATTTTAAATATTCCCTTCGTTAATTCCAAGTTTTGATCCACGTCTTTTTACAGTCTCACATTAAATTTCCTTGCAGCTATCAAAGTTACTTTATTCTAGGTACTTAGAAGCCCTCAATAATATAACTCGTTTCTTTTTGAGGTACCTATCTACAGGCTATCAATTTTATGTCCATTAAATGAATTAGGTAAAAGTCCTTCGGAGCTTATGCGACTTAAAGAATGTCCACTGGACCCTGGCGGTTACTTCATTATTGGTGGTACTGAAAAAGTAGTTCTCATGCAGGAACAAACTTCTAAAAATCGTCTGATCATTGAAGAAGATAGTAAACGTGGATTAGTGTGTTCTGTGACATCGTCCTCTGCTCAAACAAAATCTAAGACTAACATCGTCACGAAAGATGACAAATTTTACCTTTCCCATAATTCCTTCATCGTGGATGTCCCTATCGCCATATTGTTTAAAGCGATGAACATTACTTCTGACCAGGAACTATTGCAACTTATTGGGACAGAAGAATCTGTTTGGGCTAACTTTGTTCCTAGCCTTAAATTATGTTTGGAATATAATGTAAGTTGGTTTATTCGATACTTTTTTTTTTACATATTTTGCCAATCTTTCAGCATACTATGGGCTGTTTTGAAGCCAGAACGATAACCTCAAGACAAGTTTCTTTATAGAAATCGACCCACTTCACTTTTTGTTGTTATATGTCCAAATTAAGTAATTTGGAGCCACCGATAGTCCCCTCCTCCAAGGAAAGGTTTAGGATCTTGTTGTAACAGCACTAAATTCTTTACAATCTGGAATTTTCCGGTATATGAAACCACATTGTAAGTTTTTGGTTTTCTACAGACATTAACCACTGCCATAGTATTGCATTTGATGTAATTTCTGACAAACGTCTCCATACAATATAATTATACGTTCTCAGTTAGGGTCTTCTCTATAGTTCATGCCTCCGCATGTTGTGTGGTACTTGAACTATTAAAATGTAGCCAATTATTCTGTTACAGCATTGTTCGAACTGGGATTTTACGAAAATCTAATGAGACCTTATTTTGCTCCCGATCTTGCAACTTGCCAGTTGTATTTCCTGTCTTCAACAATGTTATAACTGTAGCTCCGTTTTAAAACCGGCCTCATTGAATCACTGGGAAGAATAAATTACGACTACTGCATCTTTTATACTACTGCTTACTGACGGCACATTTAAGAATTGACTTATATGTTCTTCCCTCATACATTCATTTATCATCTTTTATAAAATTATTGGTGTTAATGCCTGTATTAATTATTTGTGTGTAAAATAAGAAACCATACTGATTTAGCTTATCGGTGTGTGATTTTTCTAGAAGAATTTCAGCTAAATTTCCCTGAACTTCTAATGAAACAATTCTTGCATTTCTTCAAAAAGGAAAAGGATTTTTCGCTGATACACTTTAAGTCCTGGGACCAATTGATTTGAAATTGAAAAGATAATAAAACTTTTTCTCCTTATGGATCCATTAAGTTAACAATACCACACCTGTCACTGTTTGTTGTACCGTCAAAAAGGAGCCTCTGTGAACAGGTTGTTGTTGTTGTGTTAAGCAGTTGTATTAGCTAGTTCGATTACTGGTTAGTTTCCTAATATTGACTGTAGAACTGGTGATCTATTTACCAAATGACTTAGTGACCAATGAACAATAGTCAAGATCTGAACTCCTATTAGTCCTGAAGCTATTTCCAACCCAGTATCTAACCAGTAGATGAACACAGAAAGAAGATTAATTCTCTGTTGTACTTTTTTCAGTTGTGACTAAAAGCTCGTATAGTAATATACCTCAAATATCTGACTTACAGCAACATAAACAGAAAATTATGTACGATTTATCCAGGAGTGATATAAAAACGAAGTAATAGGAAATTAATTAATTCGTGATGCGTATGAAACAGTAAGCCATAATAACAGTTTGTGGGTTAAACGAATTCAACGAATAGATTACTATAAGAACACGATAATCCTAGTGTTAAATAATTATTCAGCAGAAATATAAACAACAATTTACCTTAGGTTAGTTTTGAAAGTTTGGGCTTCCACAGATCCTTTTCGATACGATAAACATATCATAATTACGCTTTCATTAGTGCGTTTTAACGATTTAGTGTAGAATATTCTCAGACAGTATTCTCTGTGTATGATAAATGAAAGACGGTTGCTATTCATATGGCTGCATCTAATCCAGTGTGGAAGGGTACTTCAGATGGAGAGATTAGCTACATACGCCAAAAGAATATTGTTATAGTTATGTAGCTACTTTATTCATAGTTGTGATCCGGAATACAAGTCCGAAAATTGGCTCAGCAGCATGTACACAGCACTAAGAATATGGTCTTAAGAATGAACAGGGTTCTACAGAAATTATTTCACTCATTTATAGTAGAAGTTTCAGTACATTTGAAATCTATCAAGTACCGATTCGATAAGTAAATATACAGTTATTAATGTCCGCTGATCACTCTAAATATTTATTTATAGTTATCGTATTGTCTCTTTCATTTTATTGTTATATGTAAATGTAGGAGTTGTAATACATGTTTTCTCACTGAATACCTGCTTTGAGTAAGATACTTAAGTTTTATATAGTGCGAACTTGTGGGTGTGTTAGCAAATGTTCTTCTGAGAACAAGACACATTTGTTTAACCCGCAATACAACACATTTGTAGATTGCAGTCACAATAAATAATGCGAGTATAGTTAAAGGAAGAGCGAGTTCAATTCATTTTCGACTTTGCCTTGATCCCTTACCATGTTCATTTGCTAATGCTTCAAATATTTCCATTGATGGATTAAATGAAGGTAAAGTTTTCATAAATTGTGTTTAGTCTGTAGGTAATATAAGAATGCAGTAAGCGAGGTTTTTTCCTTGACATCTATCGTAAACATAATATTATTTCATGGGAGCATTTTTATTTTACTCAGTCCTGGTTATTCGTTCGACCTTATCGAGTTCTTATGAGGACTTTTAATAACTGAAGCTGTGAATGTGGGTTTATAACTATCTGATTGACTGTGTGTTTTGAGGTTGAAGTTGTTATTTGACATGTACTCACAAAATTCAAATTATTGATATAAACCCTCCGAAATTAACAGTTATCGGCAGGAAAAATAAATTGCCGACGGAAAGCTTATTCTTACGTAACAGATATGGTCCGTTCGTAGACAAAATATAAAAAAACACTCAATTGCTGAGGAGCCAGTGAATCTCTCTCTACAGGTATATCTCGGTTTCCTTTCTATTATGCGCTATGGCTCCAAATCGTACGCAATGGCGCAAATGCATCTATTCTTTGTTTCCCCCCAATTCTAACCTTCTGAATTCCTCATAACCTTTTTCAATGTTTTTATTTCACTAATTTATATCTTGTTAAACCATATCTTCGATGCATAGTCTTTTCTATCACTACTTACATTGTTACCACATCTAATATTCTGGGATTTGACTTAACGATTCCAAGAGCTTGCGCTAACGGGCTATGGCAACTTGACTGATGTACTAACGTACCAGGTTCTACGTTACTACTGACTGTTTATTATGAATTTTCTAACTTTCAAACACTACTAACAAAGCATTTTTGTACGCAGTAAAATTATTAGGTTTAGACTGAGAAAATTAGTATCAAGTGGTTTGTCTAACAAAAAAGAATACAACGCTTGTAAAACGTTGTAATTATATGACCAATTTTCGGAAAACATAACCAAAAAGTTCGAATGTTGATTGTTCTAAACAATTATTGTAGCCGCCTTTATCCAATGATTTCTAACATTGCTAACCCCTCAATGTTAAGAAGGATACGGAGGCTGGCTTTTACAATTGATTAGTTGATGCCGTAGTTGGTTCTATTGTTCATGAATTTAGTTGACTCTTGATTGCAATCATCATTTCACTCTGAAGTGAAATAGTACGATTCATTAATGAGAAATGGTAATGAAAATTATTTTGTAAATGGTTTCATCTTTATAGTGTACTCAGAGTTGTTAAAGTCATTAAACTTTGTGTTTTTTTTTCAGATCCACACCTGCTTAGATGCTTGCAATTGGTTACATTCACGTTTAAGACAACCTCGATATCGCACTGCTTTCGGAGCTGGTAGAACGCTACGAACTGCTGCTAATATTTTAGAGACAGATATCATCTTAGAAATACAGAGATTTTTACGAGATATAATTATTACACATGTTGAAATGGAAAAGCTTAACTTTGCACCGCGTGCATTCTTCTTAGGTCAGATGGTTCGTTATTTAATACTAGCCAATGAAAAACGTATTCCTGTAAGTCACTTTTCATCATACCACTTTATTTATGTACAGTTTATCAAATTAGTTACTTTATCTCATGAATAGAGAAGTTGTAAATCTTTTTTTAGAGAGTAAGGCGTGTTGAAATAGGTGTGATAAATTAGTGAAACTGAATTCAGTTCATGTAAAAATAATTAAGAATAAATATCACTTGTATTAACTCATCTAATCATGAATCCATCTCCATGCGCTTCGTGTTGCATTTTAAAGCTGGTTAGCAAATTATATTGGCCTCTAGATGTGTAGGTTTGGAAACTCAAGTCTCAATTTGCTGGGTACGTAAACGTAAGGTACGGCGATGATAAGTAACGTAACTAAAGTTTCGTCACCGAATGTTCGTAGTTCGTTATTTTTAATGAAAGATACAAATAATCCATAGTTTGTTCAATGGAAAATGCTACTTGTAATGTTACGCAATTCATTTCCTGCTTTAATTAGATTTCATTCTAAATTTTAACAACAACAATCAGTTTGGAATAATTGGACTTAGTTGTGGGTTAGCTAAGTATTGATCATGAAGTGTTTCACCTTAGACTAGTATTTCAATGTTTGACTGCGTTTAGGACTGGGTTGTCTCATGTACACTTAGCTGCAAATATGGATTTCATATGTAAAATTACCTATTAAGAGCTATAATTTGTCCCTACTAATAAATTTGTATAAATAAAGGACTTTTAAAAAATACAGTCATCTGTGATAGCAATAATCGCTTTATTCAATATATGTTTGATACACTGGTGGGACTCTCAGCATAAAATATCTCAACAGGGCGTTCCTATCCTTCTGTACTTTGAACTTGATGTATTTATTTATTTATTTATTTAAACACATACATATTGGTACAAAAGGGCACCAGTACATATGCGCCACACAAAATAATGAAAGTAGGAAGAGAAGGGATGAAAAGATAAGGCGGACTGAAATGTACAACCAGAAGATTCTTTCAGTTAAGAAAGTTATAGCCACTCTTTATGAAGAGAGTAAAAGAAGGTTACAGCGGGCTCGCTACTGGCTTCTATTATGAGCCATATCTGATAACGTCTCTTGCCACTGTGTTGCACCATCCCTCGGACCCCAGCCAGGGAATCGTGAAGGACCAACAGAAGCTAGCCCTTTGCAGCTTTCTTTCATGCCACGACACCATGTCATACACTGACCTCCTCTCCGCTATTTCCAACCAGTCCCAGAGTCAGCAAATAATGCACGACGTGGAATTCTCTGGGACGACATTCGTAGAACATATCCAAGCCACCGAAGTCGGTGTTTCAAGATGGTGACACCAATTGAATTATCGTTTCTGCGCTCGAACAGACGATGCCGAACCTCTGCATTACTAACATGGTGATGCCACTGGATGTCAACAATCCGTCGGAGACAACGATGATCGAACACAGAGAGACGTCTAACATCCTCAACTCGGAGAGGCCAGGTTTCACAAGCATAGAGCAAAACTGCTCTCACCGACGCGTTGTAGATCCGACCTTTTACAGCCAGACTAACATCACGAAGGCGACAAAGATGGCCCAGATTGGCATAAGCCGCTCTGGCTTTCCTTATACGCCAGCCAGTCAGTCAGTCACAAAGTAGAACATCGTACGTACGTACATCAGTTCGAGTTGCCATACCACATTAGCACAGAGATGCAGTTGTCGATTCAAATCCCATAGTGGTGGAAGTAGTAGGAGTATAATCAGAAATCCAAAAGATTAGGGTTTGAAGAAATTATTGAAGGAGTATAGTACAGTGAAATAAATTTGGAAAGAGAAAAAGGATAGAGACATGAGGAATTCAGAAGATTAGAAGTTGGTAGAACACAAAGAGTGTATGCACCTTCGCCATTGCAAACGATTTTGAGCCATGTCATTCAAGGTCTCTAACCATCGGTTGCTATCATCTCGCGAATCCCAACCAGGTAGTCTACACCTACCAACATGGCCCAGTCCACTTGTCAGTGACTTCATGGATTTATGCCATGTTTTGGTCTGGCCGCCCCTAGCTTTCTTCCAACCTACTCCTACACCATAAAGCATTGCACGTCGGGGCAGTCGGTGGTTGGGCATACGTAACACATGTCCCAGCCATCTCAACTGATGAAGATTCACTACTTCATCAATCGATTTGCCATCCTTACCTAGTACCCGTTTCCCATCAACTGCATTACTTACCCGGTGGTCCCAGGATATACGAGCAATGCTTCGAAGACACCTGTGATCAAAAACTAGTAGCCTACGAATATCCTCTACTCTTATCGGCTATGTTTCACTGCCATAAAGTAGGACGGAGCGAACTGCTGCACAGTAAACTCGTCCTTTGATTGGTAGACGGATATCTCGCCTACGCCATAAATGACGCAAGTTGGCAAAAGCTAGACGAGCCTTCTGTATGCGTGCTGAGATTTCGTCACACACCAGACCACAAGAACTGATGAGACTCCCAAGATAAGTGAAGCTGTCAACACGCTCAACTACTACACTCCCTATCATTAGTTCAGGTGTCGCTGCAAACCAATCCTGAAGTAACATTTTGCACTTCGAGGGAGAGAATCGCATCCCGAACATGCCTGCATTGTTGCTTATAGTGGTCAGAAGACTCTGCATGTTGCCAGCGTCCTCACCAAGTAAAACAATGTCGTCGGCGTATTCTATGTCAATAAGTTAGTCTCCCGGTTATAAGTTCAACTCCAGGAGATTGAGATGATGAAAGTGCTATCTCTAAAAGCATGTCAACGACAAAGTTAAACAAGAATGGGGAGAGTGGACAGCCCTGACGAACACCAATTCAGGTAATCAGTTCTGATGACAGTTCACCATAGGCTCTTACTCGACTAGTTGTGTTCAAGTAGAGAGCCTTTATGAGGTTAATGTATTTCTTTGGTACTCCTTTCACTGACAAACACTGCGATAGAACCTCACGATCAACGGAGTCAAATGCCGCCTTAATTTCAAGAAATTGTTAGAAATTGCCCAAATATTACGTATCGCGATAGGACCACACGAAATTCTACCGATTGACCAAATTCAGATGTCCTAGTTCGACCCCAATACTGTTCCCCAACTCCAATAAATCAGAACACAGCCGTCAAATGAGAATTCTTTATGGGGTCAGCAGCAGAACAAAAATGGTTTACAGACAAGGCATATTTATACAGTTACGATGACTATTAACAGTAGCCAATGGAAAGGAAGGACACGTAAAGATTATAATTAGGACAACTCAAAATTGTTCAATAGGGAAACGACACATGAAAGTCATAGTTAGTACAACTGTAATAATGGCCAATATGAAATAACATGTAAAATATGTGAAGAGACTGAAAACATGCCAATTTACATTCGAGATAATTTTTGGGATATTCCTGTAAATATCCTAACACCTCCCCTTGGAAAAAAAATTAATAGCGACACAACTGTGGGTTTACCTGAAAGTTCTTTGGTTTTCTTCGTTTGCGCTCCGACCTCCTTAAAGGTAACGACCGAGAACCTGAAGAATGTTCTGCTTGATTAGATGACTGAGTTGCCTCCGTTGTAGGTATTGGCGGAAGTTGGAAAGTATCCAGTAATAAATCGAGTGGGACGCGTTTCGTAACTTCAATTTTTTTCTTGGCTTCTCTTGGCCTTAGTTGATTATGGTGCCTGGTCTAGATTTCTTTGTTCACTTTGACCTCATACATGACCTTCCCCTGTCTCTTTACGACTTCACCCTCTATCCATCTATCATACCCATGTCTATAGTCCCGCACATACACTTTTGCGCCAACTTCGTAAGGAATTCGGGTATTCTTCATGTGAGGACTCTGCTGGGCTACTCGCCTTGGTGTCATTGCACTATGAATTGTTCGTAGCTTCCGTCCCATAAGCACCTCAACAGGGGATTTGAAGTTTGGCAATAAATCATGAGGAGTCGTCCGGTACACAATTAGAAATCGTTCTATAATATCGTGTGTTGTTCCCTCCCCTCTTGCCTTAAGCATGGCACGTTTGAATGTATCGACGAAGCGTTCAGCTTGTCCATTAGATTGCGGATGGTAGGGCGGAGAACGGACATGATTGATCGAGTTTTGCAAGCTAAATTCTCGAAACTGACTGGATTTGAACTGCGAACCATTGTCTGTTACTATTGTTTCTGACAGACTATGCTGAGCGAAGATCTGGTTAAGGAGTTGGATGGTTCGAGTTGTAGAGGGTGGTGCAATCGGCAATATCTCCGGCCATTTGGAGAAGTAGTCGACCAGTATCAGATATATGGTACCATCTAGGGGTCCGGCAAAATCAATGTGCACTCGCGACCAGGGTTTTTCTGACTTGGGCCAGGGTACTGTTGGCAACTTAGGAGATTGTTTCGCAGCTGTTTGACAATGTGGACATGTTTTGACGAAGTCGACAATTTGCTTGTTCATGTTCGGCCAGTATGCGTAACTACGAGCGATAGATTTCATACGGTTTATCCCTGGATGACCAGCGTGAAATTGGCGTAGGACCTTGGCACGCAGGGTTGTTGGAATTACTACACGGTCACCAAACATCAGACAGTCATTGACAACACGAAGAGCGCTGCGACGATTCGCTAGGTGTAGCATCTCACCACTGAACTGCTTAACTGGCCATCGGCTCTGAACATAAGTGATTGCTTCTTGAGTCGGGTCGTTTCTGGTAGCTTCTCGAACGTTTTCAGCCGTAACAGGCATAGCTCGCACGGCATTCGCCATTAGTGTTGCACCAGAATCATCTTCCGTTGCTTGTAAGCGGGACGTTTCGCGAAGCTGCAAGCGGCTTCGTGAAGATGCAACCAATGCTCATCCATACTTTTCCGTTGGATGGTAGCTAGCCTAGAAGCTAGCTCCGCTCGATACTTACATGCAACAGAAGATGCAGCCAGTTTACTAACATCGATCCGTTGGTGGTGGTCAATCCTTCGGCCACTGAAAAGTAAGGTGAGATTGGCGCAGACCAGCGCATGATCAGACTCCAGATAGGTACTCCAAAAGGAGCGGCAGTCTTGTACACAACCACGCCAGCGGTAGCTGATCGCGATGTGATCAATCTGAGTCCAGGCTTGAGATGCAGACGGAGGACGTCAGGTGGCACACCGGTGATGACTGTGCCGGAAGTTAGTGCTGGCCAGAAACAGGTTGTGGTCTGTGCACAGTTGCAGCAAACGGTCCCCGTTATCTGTCCTGCGACCAACAAGTCCCCATCGGTCATCTAAACGACTCTCTTCATTGCCTAGAAGCCCGACCTGTGCATTCAAGTCTCCGGCTAGTACTACAATATCTGTCGAACGCGCATTCTGGAGAAGAACTGTTAACTGGTAGTAAAACTCATCCTTGATTGCATCCGGGCTGCAATCTGTCGGGGCATAGGCGGAGTTGACGAAAAGACACCGTTTCTCACGCCGGTTTCTTCTCACTTTGATGGAGCTTTCTAATCTAACAGCACATAACCGACTGTTAATGGGGATCCAATCGATTAGTGCTGCCTCAGCTCTAGCGCTTAGTGCAACACCAACGCCTGCAAGACCAGATGAAGATGCCACAGAGTCCCCGGATAAGCGCACGTGAAACAAGCTTTTCGAAGCGACTGATTGAGAGCGGATTTGTAGTACTTCACTAGAGTCTTGAATACGGGTCTCGGATAGACAGCAAACATCAACATTAAGACCTTCTAAAGACATAGCCAGCCCTATCTGTTGTCCGATCTGCATTCATATGCGAATGTCGAAGGAAGCCAGTTTGAACGGTGTACGTGGTTTCAGAAAGACTGGTTCAGTATTCGCATTCTCTGGAAGCATTCACTTTCGACCAGACAGTGACTGGAGATCGTTTAGATAGAACAGAGTTTCCATCACGGGCGAGCTGCTGCATAATTTGGAAAGGAAGAATACACAATTTGGGAATAAAGGGAGTGAAAAAGCGACGTAGTAAATAATAGTAATAATAATAATAGTGTACATTGTCTTGCTTCTAATATGAGCGAGAATAGTATCGTCAATAGAATTCATCATTTCATTTATTTGTGTGTGGGCTGTGATACTGCCCGTGTGCCCAAACCGAAGCAGGTAGTTTTCTTAGGGGACCACACCTTGAGCCTTCGACCTAAAGGTCTCATCCACAAGGCAGTGGAGCATCATGAGGAGATGCAGTCCCATGGTAGCCGGTGACCAACAGCAGGTTCATTCGCCATTCGTTCCATCAGGATCCTGGAGCCCATGTGCACCATTGGTTTGGAATCAGGGTTTTCCAACTCCCCTAGGTGGACCCTCCATGTCCACCAACCCGGTTAAAGCCCCGGACATTCGCTTTTCCTCCTGTCACTTTTGTGAACAACACCCTCACCACGAGAAGGCAGTGAGTAGGACTTCCCTGGCAGAGGCTATATATTTGCGTGGCCATATGAGAGCATTTTTAGAAGGGAGAGTGGACTCTCTCCACTCTCGGCCGTACCGGGGCATTTGGGGGCAAAAAGTTAATGTATACACATATAAATAAGTTTAGTGAGTTTTATAAGAGTGATTCGTATTTTTGTAATTTTAACCTCAATGGTTTTCGGTTATTTTTATATTTATAAATGTCTCATGTGGTAAGTGGATGGTTTAGATTTGATAAAATAACTTTTGCTAGTTTTGCAAGGTTTTAAAAATTTATGCGCAGCCCTGTTTATAATGAAGTCGTAAAATTCCTCACTAACCATCTAAATTCTCATTTAGTGTATTCTAATATTGCTAATTTAGTATCTTAGTAACGTGAGCTCAACTTTCATCCATTGAGTCATTTGTGAAAATCCAATCCAACGCATATAGATTTAGTTCGTGAAATGTTATCCCCTCAATAGAATAACTGTAACTCAGTTAGGCATATAAGCCTATATTTAGAATTACATCTTAGAAGAGTCAAGTTTTTAAGATTTAGATATGTACCTGTTTGAAAACAAAACAAACAAGAACCACCGAGTAAGTAATGCAGTTTCTAGGAAACGAGTACTAGGTAAGGATGGCAAATCGATTGATGAAGTAGTGAATCTTCATCAGTTGAGATGGCTGGGACATGTATTACGTATGCCCAACCACCGACTGCCCCGACGTGCAATGCTTTATAGTGTAGGAGTAGGTTGGAAGAAAGCTAGGGGCGGCCAGACCAAAACATGGCATAAATCCATGAAGTCACTGACAAGTGGACTGGGCCATGTTGGTAGGTGTAGACTACCTGGTTGGGATTCGCGAGATGATAGCAACCGATGGTTAGAGACCTTGAATGACATGGCTCAAAATCGTTTGCAATGGCGAAGGTGCATACACTCTTTGTGTTCTACCAACTTCTAATCTTCTGAATTCCTCATGTCTCTATCCTTTTTCTCTTTCCAAATTTATTTCACTGTACTATACTCCTTCAATAATTTCTTCAAACCCTAATCTTTTGGATTTCTGATTATACTCCTACTACTTCTACCACTATGGGATTTGAATCGACAACTGCATCTCTGTGCTAATGTGGTATGGCAACTCGAACTGATGTACGTACGTACGAAGTTCTACGTTGTAACTGACTGACTGAAACAAGAACAGAGAATTCAAATTTGTTCATAAAAAGTGTAAACGTTTCATTATTTGCAGTAAGTAAATTAATTTTATAAAGCCAAATCAGAAAGGATAGTAGATACAAATAAGTTCATTTGATGGGATAAACGGTTCGACTTATGATGATTGAGACAAGAGGTTTTAACAAATATTTTGTTAAGTGATAGAAGGGTAAACGTTTCTTTGCTCCTTTAACGACATTTAAATACTAAACTAAAAACCATCACGTTTTTAATCAGTATAAGTGTATTTCAAGTCATTGTCCTACTGACTGATGTGATTATCGTGAACCAATCTTTGAAGTCAATATTTTGTATCAATTCTTACTATTTACATACTTATTTTCTCATTTATTACAACCTTTTTCAGAGGATAAAATCGGAATCTATCTTTTTTAAAAATGTCGTTGTACATCCGTGTACTTCCGGCGTTCTCTTTGGAATATGAATTGTTGATACTATAAATTCCAGCAATAACTCTGAGTCCTGAAAGTGGGGAGATATTCGACATTATGGGGCTCACTGTTCAATATATCTCTTGCAGGCCAAAACTTTTGATCATGTTTCATAATTTAACCAATTAAGATTGGATTATTTTCACACTTTATGGTATCACTGAGAAATTTTCACTCATCACTTAAACCGGGATTTGAGGTTAGGGGTAATGTTTCGCTAACTCTCTTTGGGATTTGTAGCAATAGAGTATTTTAGAAGATGAATGTCATGAAATACCTAAATTTTCTAGCACGTAACATATGAAATTCGATTATGTTTTAGATAATGATCGACAGTGAAATCCAAGACTCATTTAGTTCATTTTGAAACTCACCGGGTTGATTTTAATTCATTCTACAGTTAATGTTTTTCACATTAAGATTTAATCTGAAAATCCATCCCTTCAAGCACCGACGAATGGCCCATTCAGCTAATAAGTTATGATAGCCACACACGTCATCCAATGGTTGCAATATTTATTATTTTTTAGGATTAATATATCTATATTGTTGATATCCAGGACTGAATTTAACCAACAAATTTATCCGAACATTTGTGGTGGCAAAACCTTAGCCCTATCAGTTCCTACTTTATCAACGCCTTTAGAACAAATGCTTCGCTCATTAAAACTCAGGCTCGTCGATATGGTTTGAATAACTGGGACAGTCAACAAAATTTTTTTTTAAAAAATTATTTGGAATGTCCTATTTTGCACAACCTATTTTTAGTATTTGCTATTTTCATCCTTACTATTTTCCAGCTGGTCACTTTTTTATAAGACGTAATCGAAACACGGTATTTCTACCAACGTCTTCGTGTATTATGTTTTGTTTTACTGGCCCCACTCTTTTTAATTTGTGATAAAAGTTCAAAACTGAGGACGAAGATTCTAACCACTTGAAGGTTCACCGTTGGATGTCATCGTATGTAGAATTGTTTTTTGTTTTCCTAACGAATGAAGCATACCAATATCTTATCTTAAACGACCTATTATTCAGTAGTAACGTTTAAAGACTCCGATGTAAACATTTCCACAAGTTTTACGTATATACTTTAGAAGGGGCCTAACACAAATTTCTTCTAAGTTACTTGAGACTTACACAACTATCTCCTCATACTCTGTATGTTTCTGTTTCAATTTTCTGTAAAAATCTTTTAATTAATTTTTTTGCATGCATACTTTTTAATATATATCAATTTTTAAAATAAAACATTTTCATGATGGACCTTTGGTTTCTTGTTAGCCAGATGATCGGGATTTTTATGGGAACAAACGTATTGAATTGGCTGGTAGCTTGCTGGCCCTTTTATTCGAAGACGTCTTCAAGACATTTAACGAAGATCTCTGGTTAACAGTATCCAAGATCGATACAAAACGCCGATGTACACCTTTTGATATATCTCGACATATCAAAACGTGGATGATAACCGAACAGTTAAACAGAGCAATTTCTTCTGGAAATTGGATCATAAAACGATTCCGTATGATGCGACATGGTGTTACACAAGTCGTTAGCCGTTTATCTTACGTTGCTGCCTTGGGACATATGACTCGAATGACAAGCCAATTTGAAAAAACTCGTAAGGTAGGTCTTTGGAAAGTGTGATTGACAGTTTTTTTTTAAGAAGAATGAAATTCTTATTACTAATTGTAAAGGTTTTTATTTTACTATTGTCTATATTTAAAACGAATTTGATCATTCTCAAACAGAAGTAAGTACCATAATCGTTAAACAGATCGACGAATTCTGTTGGATTCAGTTACATTGAGCTGACGAGTGCTGTGTGGGGTGAAATGTGTGTTTTATATTCTAACTATAATCACTATCGAAAAACATTACAAAAGCACATGCTTCACGACTCATCTCTGCTGTTATTCGTCAAGTTTATGTAAAAAAAGACTACGAATACCATTATTCACATGTACAATAAACATAACCCTTGAATTTGTTTGTAACGATTACAATATTACATTTTTTTCCAAAGAAAATATGTTCTCAGTCTCTCCTTAATTTAAATAGAGTTAATGTAAACAGGCAAAAATGTTTTCTAAAATCACTAAGACAAAATGAGATGAATTATTATAATACGTTCTACTCCCCATTCGCGTCATGTAGTTTCATAGTTTGTGCGCTCCTCAAGTGTTGTTTTACTAGGTCCAACGGATAAATGTTTTCCATTTCTTCGTTATAATGGGTTGTCTACATTGCTATACAGAGTATCGTTTTTTTTACTACAGGTCTCTGGTCCACGTTCTATTCATGCAAGTCAATGGGGTCTTATCTGCCCATCTGACACACCTGAAGGGGAAGCTTGTGGACTTGTTAAAAATGTCGCTCTGATGTGCCATGTTACGGTCGAAGTAGACGATGCACATTTGATTGAGCTAATTAGCAACTACTATACATTTCCACTCTACCAAATGAGATATGCTAAAAATGAGTATGTTGGTGTTCGCCTTTTGATAATGTTACTTTAATTTTCATTTACCTCTGACTATTAAATTTAGTGAACCAATTATCTAATCCAGGCAGGTTTTTCAGGCCTCCTATCTCATTCATACCTTCAATCTGTATTGCTGGTTATAGCTGTTTTGTAACAGCATAATTGGGTTCTGCGATTACTGTGAACTAATCAATTATCAGAATATTGAATTAGTGTACTTGAGGCCCGCTCTCGTGCTACACTTTTATTTAATTTTATCATAGAGATACTAGTTGAGGTAGTGAAATATTCTTTTAATTTTTAACAGATGAATCTATCTGAAATTCCCTTCATGAACTTATAACACAGAGATTATAAGCTTCTGTGTGATGAGGACTCTAAAAACAATCTTCTAAAAGCTTTACGACCAAGCCATCCAGCTCAGAGAACAAAACTCCACCAAAATCATCCACCAGAGCTACAAATCTCCATCATCTCAAAGACTATGAATGTTTTGTCTCCGTTTTCTGACCTGTTAATGCTGCCTCAAGACTTGTATTCGTAAATGCCTATCCTGAATAAAGGGATTAAAGTAGTTGAGTTTACTGATTACTTCATGTACTTCGGAAGCTTCACTACTTTCCGTGGATCGGTGACTAGCGACATCTCGACAAGTGGTCTACGAAGGCGGAGAATATGTACAGATTACCACCAGTTGTGCGTAAATGACTTGAAAACACTGGTCGTGTATAAGAGATTCACTGTTTGAAGTGTACATTTATTTATTTTATTTATTTATTTAAACACATATATATTGGTACAAAAGGGCACCAGTACATATGCGCCACACAAAATAATGAAAGTAGGAAGAGAAGGGATGAAAAGATAAGGCGGACTGAAATGTACAACCAGAAGACTCTTTCAAGTAGGAAAGTAAGAACCATTCTTTATGTAGAAAGTAAAAGAAGGTTGCAGCACGATCGCCACTGGCTTCTATTTTGTGCCATATCTGATAAGGTCTCTAGCCACTGTGTTGCACCATCTCTCGGACCCCAGCCAGGGAGTCGTGAAGGACCAACAGAAGCTAGCCCTTTGCAGCTCTCTTTCATGCCACGACACCATGTCATACACTGACCTCCTCTCCGCTTTTTCCAACCAGTCCCAGGGTCGGCAAATAATGCACGACGTGGAAGTCTCCGGGACGACATTCGTAGAACATATCCAAGCCACCGAAGTCGGTGTTTCAAGATGGTGACACCAATTGAATTATCGTTTCTGCGCTCGAACAGACGATGCCGAACCTCTGCATTACTAACATGGTGATGCCACTGGATGTCAACAATCCGTCGGAGACAACGATGATCGAACACAGAGAGACGTCTAACATCCTCAACTCGGAGAGGCCAGGTTTCACAAGCATAGAGCAAAACTGCTCTCACCGACGCGTTGTAGATCCGACCTTTTACAGCCAGACTAACATCACGAAGGCGACAAAGATGGCCCAGATTGGCATAAGCCGCTCTGGCTTTCGCTATACGTGCATCAATCTCATCACTCACGCCACCACCAGCACTTATATAGCTACCTAGATACACGAACTTCTCAACTACTTCGATCTGCTCACCATCCAGGGTGAGTACAGGATGAGAATCCTGCCAGTCTTGTAGAAGTACTTTGCACTTGGAGGGTGCAAAGCACATGCCGTACCTGCGGACACTGATTGCCAACTGATTAAGTGCGGATTGCATGCCTTGGGCATTATCGCACAGTAAGACAATATCATCCGCATACTCAAGGTCGAGAAGTCGTTCTCCAGGCAACATATCCACACCACCGTTACTTACATCCACCAGGGCTGTTTCTAGGATGTCGTCGATGGCAAAGTTGAAGAGGAATGGTGAGATCGGGCAACCCTGTCTAACCCCACTGCTCGAATGGAACAAGGGAGAAAGGTGGTTGTATTCCCTCACTCTGCCTGAGGTGTTCGTGTACAGGGCCTTTAAGATGTTAATGAACGTCTCAGGCACACCCTTCTTCAATAAACAATCCTAGAGAACAGTCCTGTCCAACGAATCGAAGGCCGCCCTGATATGAAGAAACACTACGATTGTTGGCCTGCGATAAGTTTATTATTATTATTATTACTTGAAGTGTACATGTTGGACATAGATTTCTTGTTAAGCTTTCTAAATCGATTGGTTATGTCACTAACCCCACTGCTGTATGGTGATTAGATGTAGTTCCTTGTGGATATATTACATTACACTTCTTGGCCGTCATATCAGCTTCTTTCTTACTGTCATTATTTCAACAATTTTACATTAAAATATATACTGTGTTTAGTCGCGAATACATTCATTAAAACCTCATAAATTCCAGATACGTGATATATGTAAATGGGAAACCGATTGGATTCACTCAACACCCTGGGAAACTATGTGTTTTGATTAGAGGTCTTCGGCGTTCGGGTAGAATTCACGGTTTTGTTTCTGTTTATATCAAGCAAGCTTATCAGTGCGTTCATGTCGTCAGTGATGGTGGCAGATTCTGCAGGCCGTATATTATTCTGTGCAATGGAAGACCACTCGTAACGGAATCTGTTCTTCAGGTGAGTTGTTGTGGTAACGTTTTTTTTTTAACTAGGGTGCCATGCATGCTTCACATAATTCAGTGGATATATAAACTACTAAGTACATATTCTGTTACGCTATGACCTACTTTTCAAGAATTACCAAATTTAGTCGTAAAATTACTAGTAAAAGAGAGTTATGACAATAACATTTCGTTAATACTATCAAATTCTGCCACTATATATATATATATATATATATATCGTTTACTGTCACCTGTCAATATTATTAAACTTCAATTAAAATAACTTGATTTTTGAAGACGTTTTTATTGCAGCGTTGTATGTGATTCAATTTATCTAAATAACACCGTATTATAATAAAAAATAGACTAATTGTTATATCTGTTATATATTCTCCTTATTACGACCCAGCTATTCCTATTGTTTAGTGTTCTTGGACACCAATACACTCGACAAGTCCCCAAATCAGAACACGGTTAAACAGGAAAGAAATTAAATTCCGAACAACAAGGATAGGTGGAGTAAGAAGCGCAATAAGAAATACGTTAGTATATTTAGTCTTTACATGAGAAGATTCTAGATTCTTCTCCAAGTATCTGCTAGCGCTGATTAGATAAGAATTAGCCAACCAGTGTGCAGCAACACAATCCTGCATGGATCATGCTTTAATCCAATCTATGTCCCGCTAACAAAATAATATCCCAAAATTAATTGGATCTTTTATTATTCAATAGAAGTGTTTATAGAACTGACTATCTCAGGAACTGCGCTTCAGATTTCCTGAGCTCAATATTACGATACAACCTAAACGGCTGTATTCCTACATAACCTGAAATTACTGTTTTATTTTTCTTATGACGAACGTCTGAACATGACATATTATGGAAAATCTGAAATGTATTTTTCAGATATGAAGATTAAGGTACTATGAATATATACTAGCGCTCATTTGTCTCAACTGACGATTTAGCTTCAGCGACACTTGTTATACCATGGATAATTGATACTACCTGTCAAAGGAGACCTCAGACTACAAGCCGATAAAAAGTTTAAATTCTAAATATGTAAGCCATATCTCCACAATGATCTTTTGAGTATGATAATGTCACTGTACATAATTATATATATATATATATATATATATATATATATATATATTAGTAGTGAAGGATTTTTGGGTTGTTTTATTCACAGGCTTATTAAATGTGATCTGATGACGTAAATCTCAACAATAGTTGCATTCACTATCTCAAGCACTTGATCATCCTGGTTCTGTAATTGTGTCTTTGAATTAATAAAATATATTATTACTTTGATTAATTTAGGTAATAATTCCTCCTTTGATCCGACGAATTGGTACCTTTATTCATTTGATGTACTCTTAAATTATGTTTTGACATGACTAATTACTACTTGTAGGATTTACGCCACAATGTTCTAAATTGGGATGATCTATTGAAAAAAGGGTTAGTTGAATATTTGGATGTTAATGAACTCAACGATTGTCTGGTTGCCATGGATGAGTCTTGTTTAACCGACGGTAATCACTATACTCATATGGAAATCGACCCTGCCACAATTTTAGGTGTCGTTGCTGGTTTGATTCCTTATCCGGATCACAATCAAGTAAACTTTATTCTTTGCTTTATTAAATAAATAATTGTCTCTCTTGAATTATTTGATGTAGGCTTTAGTTAAGGTATCCTAGAGCTTATAACTACAAAGATGATAGTTGTTATCTCTTTACCAAACCGTAAAACATGATCTGTGTTGAAATAATTATTTGAAAGTCTTTAAAAACCTGACGTGTTTATTGTTTTCATAGCATCCCAATTAAAAAGCATATGACTAAATGATGTGTCGTCGGTGAAAGTAAAATGTAGTTGACCACTGAGAGAAGACAGATATTAGGTTACTTACTTTTTAATGTGTGAACATTTGATTACTGGTGTCTACTCTGGATTCACTCAGTATCGACTGCTTATAATTGTGTTGAATAAAGTATTACTTAGTTTATATTCTGGTTCTCTTTATTTGATCTTGAATCCTTTGTCCGGTATAACGTGATTCCATTCTGTGTATAGCGTATCAATCGGGTATCAAGTTTCGTGGTAAACAATCACTAGCACAGGTATATTTCAATTTTATTATTACAGTAGTATGTCGTGTCCAACGAAAACATCCTTTATTCTGCAGTTGAATCTCTAATATATATATATATATATATATATATATATATATATATATATATATTCTTTTTATTTAAAAGAGCTGTTCGTTTGCTCTTCTTACTGATTTTATTGCAAAGCATCTTCAAAGAGCTTTAAAATCAGTTATTTATGTTTACGATCTCAACATTTTATTAATGAAGGCTTAAGTTAGTGAGTGTTCTTTTCTTTTTTATGGTGTATATTTGATAAAAAATTTCATTGTTTCCATTTCAAATAATATAGTCTCCCCGAAATACTTATCAATGTGCTATGGGTAAGCAAGCTATCGGCACTGTTGCACTTAATCAGCAAATCCGTTTTGATACACTTCAATGTCAAATGGTCTACCCTCAAAAACCCCTTGTTCAGTCAAAGACTATTCAAATGATGCATTTTGATGAGGTTGGTTTTTGTCCTATCTTTCGCAGTTCTGTTTTTACGTAGTGTTAAAATATACTCTCTATGTATAATCTTATTCAAACCAGATAAATTTTTTTCGATATAATACTAACAAAACTTTTACTACTGAGTACTACTAAGAGAGCAGGTAAACAATATCCGTTTACGCCTTTCATGAGTAGTTAATCCAGCTTATTTCGTAGTGATTAATGTGATTCGACCACATTATAGCGAGGAAGTATATATTTTTCATGCAATTAGTTTCCTTTATGAATTTAAATAAAGTCAGGACAAACATTAATTCAGAATAATATGAATTCATATTTCGTAGTTTCTCATCAGCTGCTGACAACCAAATATGTGTTAAAATTTTACATTGAGGTAAGATATAGCGTAAAACAATTGACATAGATGAATGGAAATAATTGAAATGACAAACGTTATCAATAATAACTGTCTATGTGTATGCAAGAACATATCGGTGGTCATTTAGTGTTAGAAACAAAAAGCATGAGGGATGAACAAAGTTCAGAGATATATAAGATAAATTGTGGTAATTTAAGACGTGATAAATGATTTGTACAAGATTCCTGGAATTAAAAAAACTGGTGAGATGGGTTGCATAGTGGTTGAACAGAATTTGAAGAATTTATATATATATATATATATATATATATATATATATATATATATATAGGCAGTGACTAAGACTTCCCTGACAGAAGCTATGTACGCGTGACCGTGTGAGAGCATTTCGAGAGGGAGGATAGCCTCTCCCCACTCTCGACCGTACCAGGGCATAACCCTAAAAATCTTTAGATGATTTATTATTCATTATATCTTAGCGAGTTTACCGGCTTTGTTCCTCATTATTGACGATGAGAGTGGGATTTGCATATCTTTCCTCTATTTTATATATTATCTTTATGGTTTAGAAGGTATATAGCTTGTTATAAATCATGTTAATTTTATTGGTCCTTTATCCAAATAGTGAACATGGTTTAATTACTTCTTTTAATTACTACTTCTTACATCGACACTGTCTCGTATTTTGTACTTTATTCACATCAGCTTCCTGCTGGTCAAAATGCAGTTGTAGCAATAATGTCTTATTCTGGGTATGACGTTGAGGATGCGTTGGTTATTAACCAAGCATCAATTGATCGAGGTTTTGCTCGTGCTTGTGTTTATCGTCGGTCTGGTGTTCATCTCAAAATGCATGAAAATGCAGTTTACGATCGCTTAATGGGCCCTAGCATAGAGCGAGGTAGGTGAACAGTATCTTTCTTAAATTTTGCCTGTTGCGTTATATTTGTTTGTTGTGTATTACTATTTTCTTATGTTCCTTCATTTACACTTCAGTTACTACTGCTGGACGCCATACAAAGTATATGTCGTAATAAGCCAGTAGTCAAAATCACTTCTATGAGTTGTCTAATTATCGTTTTACTAGCTTTTCCTATATATATATATATATATATATATATATATATATATATAAACTATACTATAATTCCTCTTTCAGTTTCCTCCTCAAGTGTCACCATAGCCAACGATTCAAAGCACAAAGCACTGTCCCAGGTCTACTGAAACCTCGGTCCAAACTACATATTGGAGCTTTCAACGTACGTATCCTATGTCAAATCGGCCAACAGGCCTCCTTGGCTAAAACTCTATTTTCTCGTACCATTGATGTATGCTGTGTCTCCGAAACACGCATACAGGATCCTAGTGCGGTCATTCACGTGACCTCACCTCGCCAAAACGGAAAGCCGACGAAACACACCCTCCTTTTATCTGGCGATCCGTTGGCTAGTTCTCGTGGACTTGCAGGCGTAAACATGGCACTTAGTACGAGAGCAGAACATGCACTGTTAGATTTGGTCCTCGGTAACAGTCGCCTATGTGCTATTCGACTAAATGGCTCCGTAAGGGCGTGGAAGGATAGGGACACACGTCGTTGACTTTTCGTCGTTTCTGCTTTTTCTCCTACTGACCGCAGCCCGGGAGAATTGAAAGATGAATTTTACAGAAAGTTCTCTAAACTTCTTCGAAAACCTAAACGCTCAGACATATTACTCGTAGCGGCTGACTTTAATGCCCAAGTAGGTAGCTTAAACCAAAAAGAAAGATGTTTAGGTGGGTGTTTTAGTATTCCGGCTCAGAGAACGGATAATGGTGATAGACTGTTGCAACTATGCTCAGACAATATTTTTAGCAAACACTAATTTTAAGCATAAGGAGAGACATCGTAAAACATGGCAACTACCTGCACCAAGCCAACAATGGACTGAAATAGAACATATTGCCATCAGTCATCGTTGGAGAGGCTCGATAGAAGACTGCTAATCGTTTTGGAGTACATGTTTAGACTTTCATTATATCCTGATACAAGCACTCATTTGCTTGTCCCTCACTGGATGCAGAAAATTCACATTAAAAAACCCATTAGAGTTGAACTAAAAATCTAGGAGACCAAACGTAGATTCCAGGAATAACTGAGATCACACATAGGCAATTCCGAAAACGAGGATGACCCTGATGTTGCTTGGAAAGATATACGAACAGCTGTGGAAACAGCAGTAACATCTACTAATGATTTAAACCAAAGGGTTACGAAAAACTAATGGATTTCTTCCAAGACTATTGCACGCATGGATTCTCGCAAACTGATCCCATCAGGCACTGAACGCGATGAAAAGCGAAAACAAATCAGATCTAGGTTAACCAAAAGTCTACGGAGCCACCAAATGCCCTGGTACGGCCGAGAGTGGGGATAGGCTATCCTCCCTCTCGAAATGCTCTCACACGGTCACGCGTACACAGCTTCTGTCAGGGAAGTCCTAGTCACTGCCTTCTCGCGGCGGGGATGTTTACGTAATTGAGAGGACAAAAAGCGAATGTCCGGCCCTTTGACCGAGCCGATGGACACAGTGAGTCCACCTAGGGGAGTTGAAAAACCTTGATTCCAAACCAATGGTGCACATGGGCTCCAGTATCCTGAGGGAACAAATGGCGTATGAACCAATTGTTGGTCAGCGGCTACCATAGGACTGCATCTTCTTACGATGCTGTACTGTCTTGTGGATTAGACCTTTAGGTGCCTCTTTGTACCAATGCTCATGCGTTTGAATAATAAAAAAAATAAACCATATACTTATAAACCGAGAAAAGGGAATCAGTGGATCAAATCTCTTTTAACCTGATGATAAATGATGAAACGTCCAAGAAACAAGTTAATTATAAACCAATGTAAAGTATTCAGCTGATTCATGCCTATAACTTCACTATGTCAATATATTTGAGGTATTTATTCGGACAATACTATAAATAATAAACCATTAGTATTTGCTTTATGCGTCTTTATGTAAAAGTGTTCCGATTAATTCCCCTGTATGAGATAAACGATCATATCTCGGTAAATGAGATGATAATTACTTCACGAAATACTATACTCGCTTGAATTAGAATTCAGACAATTCACATTCACTTCATAACACTCATTACTATAACTATTATTATTATCGTCATTTTTTTCTATACTACGTCACTTATCTTTCTGTATTCACATTTCATGTACTCCCATTCTCCAACTTATGCAGCAGCTCGCCCGTGATGGAAACTCTGTTCTATCTAAACGATCTCCAGTCACTGTCTGGTCGAAAGTGAATGCTTCCAGAGAATGCGAATACTGAACCAGTCTTTCTGAAACCACGTACACCGTTCAAACTGGCTTCCTTCGACATTCGCATATGAATGCAGATCGGACAACAGATAGGGCTGGCTATGTCTTTAGAAGGTCTTAATGTTGATGTTTGCTGTCTATCCGAGACCCGTATTCAAGACTCTAGTGAAGTACTACAAATCCGCTCTCAATCAGTCGCTTCGAAAAGCTTGTTTCACGTGCGCTTATCCGGGGACTCTGTGGCATCTTCATCTGGTCTTGCAGGCGTTGGTGTTGCACTAAGCGCTAGAGCTGAGGCAGCACTAATCGATTGGATCCCCATTAACAGTCGGTTATGTGCTGTTAGATTAGAAAGCTCCATCAAAGTGAGAAGAAACCGGCGTGAGAAACGGTGTCTTTTCGTCAACTCCGCCTATGCCCCGACAGATTGCAGCCCGGATGCAATCAAGGATGAGTTTTACTACCAGTTAACAGTTCTTCTCCAGAATGCGCGTTCGACAGATATTGTAGTACTAGCCGGAGACTTGAATGCACAGGTCGGGCTTCTAGGCAATGAAGAGAGTCGTTTAGATGACCGATGGGGACTTGTTGGTCGCAGGACAGATAACGGGGACCGTTTGCTGCAACTGTGCACAGACCACAACCTGTTTCTGGCCAGCACTAACTTCCGGCACAGTCATCACCGGTGTGCCACCTGACGTCCTCCGTCTGCATCTCAAGCCTGGACTCAGATTGATCACATCGCGATCAGCTACCGCTGGCGTGGTTGTGTACAAGACTGCCGCTCCTTTTGGAGTACCTATCTGGAGTCTGATCATGCGCTGGTCTGCGCCAATCTTATCTTACTTTTTAGTGACCGACGAATTCATCATCATCAACGGATCGATGTTAGTAAACTGGCTGCATCTTCTGTTGCATGTAAGTATCGAGCGGAGCTAGCTTCTAGGCTAGCTACCATCCCACGGAAAAGTATAGATGAGCATTGGTTGCATCTTCACGAAGCCGCTTGCAGCTTCGCGAAACGTCCCGCTTACAAGCAACGGAAGATGATTCTGGTGCAACACTATTGGCGAATGCCGTGCAACTGCCTGATACCATCAGAATGGTGATTAAAGCCACCTGCGGCTTCGCGAAACGTCCCGCTTACAAGCACTGGGTTTCTTCTGGCTCCTTACAACTGATGGAAGCCCGTCGGTCTACTCCGGGTGACCGTGAGTTTGACCACAAACGAAGGCTTTTACGCAACGAAATTGGGCAAAGCATGCGTAAGGACCGAGAAGCTTGGTGGTCGGAGTGTGCCAATGAGTTGGAAGCAGCAGCTGCATCTGGTAACTGCCGGAAGCTCTTCCAACTCATCCGAGCCACTGGCAGCAAGAAGTCTGGTGTGAGCGAAACAGCCTGTGAGAATGACGGGATGCCAATCACTAACACTCATCGACGTCTTGGACGATGGACAGAATTTTTCGAGGAGCAGTTCAACTGGCCTGCTGCTCCGACAACATCGATCAGACTGCCCTGCCCTCTATGACCTGTGACGACTGATCCACCAAACGAGGCGTAAGCCCTCAAGGAACTCCAACTCATGAAACGCTACAAATCACCAGACCCAGATGACTTACCTCCGGCTGTTTTTAAAGATGGTGGTGGCTTTGTGGCTAAAGAAATGACTGTGTTGTTTACAAAGGTCTGGGAGCTAGAGAGTGTTCCAACATCATTAAATGAGTCAATAGTTGTCTCTATGTTTAAAAAGGGTTCACGTTGTTCCTGTAACAACTATCGGGGGATAAGTCTATTTCCTATTGCGTCCAAACTATTGGCTTCTGTCATACTTCGTAGATGGTTCACACCTGAGAAAGATTGACTCGTGAGGAACAGGCTGGTTTTCGTTCTGTTCGAGGATTTATTGATCATATCTTGACCCTCCTCCAAATGTTGGAACACCGTCATATTCATCACAGACCAACAATCGTAATGTTCCTTGATATCAGTGCTGCCTTCGATTCGTTGGACAGGACTGTTCTCTGGGATTGTCTATTGAAGTGGAGTGTGCTTGAGAAGTTTATTAACATCTTAATGGCTCTATATACAAACAACTCAGGCAGAGTGAAGGCATACAACCACTTCTTTCTACTGTCCCATTCAAGCAATGGGGTTAGACAGGGTTGCCCGATCTCACCATTCCTCTTCAACTTTGCATCCATGACATTCTGGAAACAACTCTGATAGATGTAAGTAATGGCGGTCAGGATCTGTTGCTTGAAGAAAGGCTTCTCGACCTTGAGTATGCGGATGATATTGTCTTACTGTGCGATAATGCCCAAGGCATGCAATCCGCACTTATTCAGTTGGCAATCAGTGTCCGCAGGTACGGCATGTGCTTTGCACCCTCCAAGTGCAAAGTACCCCTACAAGACTGGCAGGATTCTCATCCTGTACTCACCCTGGATGGTGAGCAGATTGAAGTAGTTGAGAAGTTCGTGTATCTAGGTAGCTATATAAGTGCTGGTGGTGGCGTGAGTGATGAGATTGATGCACGTATAGCGAAAGCCAGAGCGGCTTATGCCAATCTGGGCCATCTTTGT